CTAAATTAAATAAATATACTAAGAAAATATACTATTAAAAGTATTACTTAGGTATAAGATAATTAGTAAAGTGCCTTAATTTAAAGTTTAATATAAAAAAATTAGTAAAGTAGATTTTAATATATATAAGGAGGTTAAAATAACTAAGGTTACTTTTAATAAGGCTTTAAATATTAAAGTATTCTTAAAATTAAATAAAAAAAAAGTTAGTAATAAAATTAAATAATAGATTATCCTAAACTTATAATATAATTATTAAAGTTATAAAATAAAGCTAAAAGTAAAAAATTAGTATAGTAACTTTAAAATAAAAGCTATTTATAAGTTAATATTTAAAAATAAATACACGCTTTTATAAAGAAAGTAATATTAGAAAGCTGCTAATAAAACAGGCGGTTAATATTTTTTATAATTAAATAAAGGCTGTAGAGTAAAAGAGAATAAGGAAGAGAGAAAACTTAAGTTAAAAAAAAAAAGGCTATAGGTAAAAAAACCGCTAACCTTAAGACTAAATAATTTACTACCTTAAAAAAAGTAGTAAATTACTTAGTAAAAAAAGGGAATAGTTAGCCTAAGGCTAAAGGCTTTTATAAAAATATAGCTCTTTTTAAAGGGAGAATATATTTATATTAATCCTTCTTATATATATATATATATTTTATAATTCTTTTTATAATTTACTACCTCCTAATACTTTAAATTATTTAATCTTAAGGCTAATTTTTACTTTACTTTTATATTTTCCCCTTAGAAAGCCTTAATATTAAATTACTTTATAATACTTAATTATAATAAATTCTTCTAAGTTCTAAAGAAGTTATAGTATAGTTTATTACCTTATATAGCTTATGCCCCCCTTAAATTAAATTTACCTTAAAGATTTTATAATAATATTAAATAGGAGTTTATTAATAAAAACTTAGTAAAGCTATATAAAGAGTAACCTCTTTAGTTTTACCTTTATTAAGTTTAGCCGCCTGCTTAAATAAGTAGTTATTCTTTAGATAATTTAAATAGTTATTAAATATATACTTACTATATATATATCCTACGTTTTCTTAATATCTTATAAAATAACTAGGGCCTTTATATTAAATATATATATTAGTTTTTAATTAATTATAAAAAAAAAAAGTAAGCTATAAATAATAGCTTTTAAGTAATATTATAAATTATTATTAAAGAAATTAATTATATAATTACTATAGGGTATTATAATATAACTACCTTAGTAAAGTATATAAGGTAATTTAGTAAAGTATTTAATAATAAACTTTATTATAGAATATACTTAGGCCCTTAAGCTTTTAAAAAAGTAACTAAAAATAAATAACTTTTTATAAACTTTATTTTTTTTAAAGTATATTAAATTATAATTATTTAAGATTAATAATTTAATTAGCTATATTACTTTAATTTAGTAGTAGAATAATAATTTAATTAAGCTTAGTGGATAGTTTAACTTTAGAAAAACTTACTTTTAAAAACTAACTATAAGGAATTATTTAATCTCTTAGTTATACCCTATATAGTATAACCCGGAAATAATAAATATAGCTATTTTACCCTATTTTAGTTAATAATAACTTTATAAGGCTTAGTAAGTTAGTAAGTTAAGGCCTATGTAAATAATTAATTATATAGGATAGAAATTTTATAAATATACCTAGGATAGTAATAGCTAATATAAGAAGTATTTAATCTTAGAATTAAAGACTAATACTTATACTAACTTAATTATACTTTAGTAAAAGCTAAAGTTTTATTTATACTTTTTATATTTAAAGCTATAGCTTTAAATAAACTTAGTATCCTAAGGTATAAGGAATTTTAGTAACTTTAGAAATATTAATATTTATAGAATTTAAATAACCTTTATAAGTTACTTAAGGATTTGTAATAGGATAGTAAAGTAAAAGGGTATAAAATCTATACTTAGCTTAGTAATTAAATCCCTATAAAAAACCTTTTAGGGTAAGTAAGCTTATATCCCTTTAGAATATATACCTTTTTGCTTTAATTAAGCAAGGATTAATTAATTTATTAACTACTAGACTTTTACCTTATACCTTTTATTTAAAATAAAGCTATAACTAGGACTTTTAGTTAGTAAAGTATCCCTTTTTACCTTTAGTAATTATTTTTAACTACTTTATTTTAACTATTACTTACGCTTATAATTACCTTAAAAATATAAATAATTTTAAGCTGCTTATATAACTAAACTATATTGCCTATAGGTAGTATAGCTTAGGGATATATAAGTAGAGTTTTAATATTTATAAACCTACCCTTAAGAAATTTACTATAAGTAAAATTATTTATAAAAAGTTCCCCTTTATTTAAATTACTTATAAAATAAAAACCAGAATCTACACTAGCCTTATTTAATTAAAAGCCTAGTTATTTTTCTATAATACCTATAGCTAATAGTAGTTAATAAGCTTATTAAGTAGGAAACTAAGAATATAATTAATATTTCTATACGCTAAGTACTTATGCTAAATATAAGGAAGCTTTTGTAATATAACTAGTTAATAATAGTACTAAAGTAATACCCTAGACACTAGGAATTAATTAATTATAACGTATAGTTAAATTTTTAAAATTCCCTAAACTATAGAATAAGAAAAATAATAGTGTTAATAAAGCTTATAAATAGCTAGTAGACTAAAATAATAATTATTAAGTAAAATAGCTTAATATAACTAATAGTAAAAGAAATATTTATAAAACTTAGGTAGCTATAGATAAGTATATTAAATTAAAAAATTACCCTTAGTTAAAATACCTTAGAAAAGCTAAATATAAAATAACTATTAATTTTATAAAAAAAGTAGGAATATTATACTCTTACTAAGTTTTTTAAACTTTTATATTAAATAGCTTCTGCTTTTTTATCCTAATAAGACTAATAAATAAAAATATTTAAAATAATATTTATAAAGCTATTATAAATTTATAAAAACCCTTAGTAACCTAAAGTACTTATAATAAATAAGCAGCTACTTATAAAGTATTAAGGTAATAGGCAGAGAGTAAATAACCTTACTAAGAATAAAAAGGATCTAAGATTAATTAAAAGCGCTAAAGATATAAAGAATTAAGGTTAAAATATAAAAATAGTAATAGAATAGGGCTAAAAAATTTCTTTTATAACTAATTAACTAAGCCTAAGTAAAATATAATATTTCTTTTATAATCTTTTTCTAAAGTTAGTTTTTTTTTAAAGGCTATAAAGAAATATAGTAAGATTAAATAATCCCTAGGATAGTAGGTTATTATTTTAAGATTTCTAAGTAAAAACTTTTAAAGTTTACTCCTAAATCTTAAGAGGAGGCTTTTAATAAGGATTTTTAATTAGGTCTATAACTAGTGGTTAATGCTAGCTAGGATAAATAACTAAGCCAGGCTTTAGCTAGCTTAGTAATATAAAATAAAAAACATTTCCTTTAGCTAAATAGAAAAATTAAGATATATTATTATAATAAAAATAACCCTAGCCAAGACAGCGGCTTTATTCTAGTTAGAATAAGGCCGCGGCAGCTAGATTAAATAATACTATAATCTTATTCTTACGCTGTGGTCCTTATAGTAGCTAAATAAGCTAGGTGGCTTATAAAGGTGTTTAGGTGTCAATGGCCCAGTTCAAAGGTGCGTTCCCTAGCTGTCAACAAACTAGCATAGTTAAGTAATTTTATAACACAAGCGCTAAGCCCCACTGTAAAGTTAATATACTTTTAAGGCCTTAATATTAAGTTTATTACTTAGCTCTAATAATATAAAAGGGATTTCCTAAGGGATAAACTTTATATTAGGTTTATATTAGTAAATAAGCTAGGCTAAATTAATAAGTAATTAATAAGGAATTAAATATAAGATATTTATATAATTATAAAAAATATTTTATAAATATAATTAAGTATTATTTTATATTTATAACTAACTATTTAACTATTTTAAATAAGTATAAAAAATAAAACTTATATATTTAGTTATACTAAACTAAATTAATAAATAATTTATTAATTTATTTATAAATTAATATTTATTTTATTAATCCTGCGTTAAATTAAGAGAATATTTCTTAATCCTCCTTTAATTAATTAGGAGGATTAACTTTAATCTAGTAGTGCCTAGTGTATAGGCTCCTTAGTTGCGACTATAAGTGTTAGGTCGTGATACTTAAGCACTAGCGGGGTATACCAATTCAAATTTTCACACAGCATACAATACTATTACCTATCACAAAACTATTCCTCTTCATTACTATGGCAGGGGAGAGTGGGTTTAAAGAGCAACCTGGATTGCCCAGGGGTCTTTTCTGGCAACACAACTTTATTAGCCCTGAGCATGAGAAACAGTTGGTTCGGATTTTTCTTAATGAGCTGAACTGGCCCCAAAAGGCCAGCAGTCGCCAGTCATTACACTACGGCTACACATTCGACTATAAGACCTTTGGGGTAGACCCAGATATCCCATATAAAGAGTTTCCTGACTGGCTCATACCATTGATCCCCACTACGGAGGCTCGCCCACCTGACCAGGTCTGTCTACAATACTATCCACCAGGCACAGGGATCCCGCCACACGTTGATGCTCATCGGGCTTACGACCAACTGTACGCGCTGTCTATCGGGTCGCCAATCTTAATGCAATTCCGTAACGGAGATCAGCGTGTTGATATTGACTTAATGCCGCGGGGGTTGATGAGAATGACTGGAGATGCGAGGCTGCACTGGACTCATGGCATTAAAAAGAGAAAGACGGACACTCTGACAGACGGGACAGTCAGGCCTCGCGAGAATAGGTGGAGCATCACGTATCGGTGGATTAGGGAAGGGGACTGTGAATGTGGAAATGTCACACTGTGTGATGTTGCTCAGCAGCGACTTGGAATTGAAAAGGAGAAAAGATCTGCAGTAACATCTTCTGTTACTCCCTAGGACCGCGAAATGCTCTCGGTGACGATGAAGGCTTAGGTTCAAAAGGAAGGTATTTTATTCAATAACACTCAGCCATTTATTGACTCTGTATGGAAAGCGAATGACAACTTTATCCTCCAAATGATTGCTGTAGCGTTGGTAATATTCAGGAGCTTCCTTGATACTGATTTCGGCTGAAACAATAAAGCCAGGTTTTGCTTTACCAGAGTGAACCATTTGGAGTACAGGCTCTGCGTGTTCCAAGGGAAGAACTATTTCTGTACCGATTGTCGAGGCTTTGCGCCATAACGCTGGTAGAGAGAACGGTACTTGACCAGGAAGATTTCCGAGGCGAGGACCACCTGCTGTGCTGTTGGCTCCGCCGTTCCAAGCTCCTCCAATAGCCATGCCTCCCCCAAAAGCTGTGACGTTGATCATCTGATTTATCACAATGCCATTAACCAACTGCCCGAAGGCATTCACAGCTTCGAAGCCGACGCAGTCTAGGCTGCGGTTCACTCCATTTGGTTCCCGTTCGAGTATCGCTGCCGCCGGATCGGTCTCGCCAAAATTGATTGGTATGGCGCCAGGTCCTCTAGCCTTGTCAAGACGCGACTGCACACGATCCACAGAGTATACTCTTGTGGCACCACGCAGCAGTGCAGAGTAAGCCGCAAGCAAGCCAACAGGCCCGGCGCCAAATATCGCGACACTATCACCAGGCTGAAAGCTGGAATAAGTCAGAGCACCCCAGGCCGTCGTGAAGATGTCGGAGATCATGAGATAATCAAGCTCAGCAGATGTGTTCTGAGATGTAATGGGATTTGGGATAAGTGAATCGTCGGCAAATGGGATCCTGGCGTATTCGGCTACGTGGCCAAATCTATCAGTCACAATAATATGCATACCCAACCGATTGGCAGAAATACTCACCCTGAAGACCTCCATAGCCCGGCGTACCGGTTCCAAAAGTGATGGGATGAGCTGAACCATAATGTCCGCTGTCGGCATTGTCCACTATGATAACATAATCCCCAATGCTCAACGACGACATTGCATCACCGACCTCTGAAATGTAACCCACAGCTTCATGGCCAAAGCCCCAGACTATTGTGGGAGTGTTGGCGTACCCATGATAGAAATGGAGATCGGAGCCACAGATTGCTGACGTCGTAATGCGAACAATTGCGTCTGTTCCATTCAAAATCGTAGTAACGGGCATGTCAATCACAGAGCCGTTATTCGGCTGGCTAATACTCTCATTCAGATTTTGAAGAGACATGATTGTGTCTTCAAAGTAGAATAATCACAAACTGTTGAAGACGAAGATGAGGTACACCATTATTTCTGAGTTTAGAAGACTCGTGAGATAATTATAGTGACACTTAGACAGCTGACTGATGGTAGGAAAAAACGCCTTCTGGCCGAACGAGTTGGTTATTACTAACGTGGGAACTCTCTAGATTGATTCATCCTCTTTGCTTATAGTGTACTCTGCATGTAACCGTTTTCCACAGAGAACTATGTCGTCGACGTTGAATCTGGACTTAATTACGTACCCTCAACTATCTCCGAACAAGGAAAGGTTCAATACATCAAATCCGATAAGCTACTGGATACTGGGATAGACAAAATAAATAAGTTTCATCGGCCATATACTTGCCATCGAGGATGTGCATATCCCAAACGCTCTACAGCAAACTAAGTATTGCAGGGTGAAGATACTACGCATCTATCCAGCAGCCGCGTCACCGTCTCCATTTCGCCGGCGTTACACAAAAGTCAATGACGTGTCTCCTGTAGCGCTGGAATCCGAACCTGGTTTTTCACAACATTTTCGTTACTCTCTCTGGTCGAGGTTTCAACGTAGCCACGTTTGGTGTTCTCAGAATTACGCCTAAGTCCACGATGCCAAATGCCAATACAAAGTTTCCATGGTATCTCTGCAATGTAGGATCAAGATGTGTAGTCGTGAGTAGGGCCACTTGCGGGAGCCTATCCCCTTAGCTGCGAAGAGATACTATCTACATCGCGAATAGGGATACCTATGATTTAGTGATTGGGGGAGCAAATTGAGATATCTAGTAGTCAGCGTGGCTTAGAGGATAGAGAAGATACTATTGATCCTCCATGATGTTGCTCAGTAATACTAAATTACCTCCAGCCTCTCCCAGTTCTTCTCAAGGACTACTATCTTCACAGAAGAGAGGCCGGCGCACTATAGAAGTCCAGTTTACTCTAAAGCTTTTTTCGAATTCTGTATTATTGCAGCAGCCTCATTATGTAGGATATATGTTTTTACTTATGAATCTGGCGGTTGTACTATCCATGGCGATTGGACTATTCAAAGACTCAATAACCCTTTCCTGATCGATTGGTCGATCTGTTTCTCATGTGGAATAACCAACTCTGAAGTCATGACGCATACCTTGATTTAATCAACCAAAATTAATGAGCCGGCTGCTCGGCCATTATTGGCCTTCGCAACAAAGACAATCATAAATTGGTCCCTTGGAACCTTCGCCAGTGGCGGATATTTGTCCCCAATCTTAGGCCGAGTGAGGCGAGCCGTCCATGTCCAGTTGTTGCCTTCCCAGGATACAAGAGACGATGGCTCGCCATTCGTAAAGGCTCTCAGTGAGCTTGCTAAATGGCAAGTTCCAGTAACCGTGATCACACGGGCTTCTAGTTCATTACTCTCTTCACTGATTGACTTTGTTGACAAAATCTTCAACACTGGCTTGGTTGAAGAGGCTAATGGAGGACTGGTACTTTGGAGTGGTATCTCATCCGACAGCAATGACGGCGCCAAAGGTGGACTTTCTCGGCGCCTCGACATAGCCTCATATGCAAAGGCGTATTTCAAGAGGTTGGAGTCCTGATATGCCCCGCCACAGAAAGTGAGTCCGACCGGCATCTTCTCCTCTGCAAGGGTCCCCATTGGGATGGTGATGCAGGGAACTCCAAGGTGCTTCAAAGAACGACCGCCATTTGCGTATTTGACGCCGTCTCTTAACGCGTCAAGCATGGATTCATAGTTCTCGTCCGAGTCGGCCAAGGCGACATCGCCGTTGGTCGGAAACACCACAACGTCGTACTTATTCTCGGCCATCCATTCTTCCAAGTCCCTCTCTCGCATTGCTTCTAAAGCTTTGAGGGCGGACTCACACCCGGGCAGGTCAATGAGACCGAATTTTCCTCGCTGCTTTACCACGGCGACCATATCTTCGTAGCGGACCTGGTTCTGCGATTCAGTGTGCTGTGAGGGGTCATCCATGGGAGCAATATGTGGGTGAATCTTGTCGAGCTCGGCGAAGGTGAAGTCTGGTAGCTTTTCATCGCCATTGCTGCGGAGGAAGTTGTCCCAACTCAAGGCAATCATGTCGCATCGTTCACGCGCCGCCCAATCCTGCGAAAGGCCGGCGACATTCATGCCTTGGCCAGGGAAGTCTTGTCTGGTGTAGTTCTCGAATAAGGGAAAGTCAGTCTCGATAACAGTAGCCCCCAGATTCTCAAGGTCTTTCCGTGCTCTTTCCCAGAGAACGAGAACTCCACTGGAGCAGGCATTTTTTGGCTTGGCGTCCCGAACTCCAATAAAGCATTTGGGGACTACAACTCGTTTGTTTCGAAGCGCGTCCGGGTCAGCCAACGACTGATAGTCCGCCGGACGGATGTCGCTGGCCTTTGGAAGTGGCACATACGGCTGCTCACGCCAGAAATCTGCGTCTCCAGAAGCGTTATCATCTGCAACAACGACATTCAGCACCTGGAACAAGTCTGACACAGTTTTCGTGTGAGGGACGACCTGGTCACAAGTTGGATATAACGGCCACAAGCCACGGCAAGGAATGACACTGCGTGAAGGGGCGTAGGCAACCAGCGCATTGTTGGACGCTGGAGAGCGGCCTGATGTGACAGCTTCTCCAGCAAACCCAAATGCAGCAAAGCCTGCCGCCGTAGAGACTCCGCAGCCGTAGGAGGAACCAGAGGCATAAGCGGTGCACATGTACTTTTGGTTGTATGGACTCTCGGAGCGGCCATACAGACCGCGTTGACAACCACCGTCCGCCATTGGCGGCATGTTGGTCTTTCCCAAGACAACCGCTCCCGCTTTGCGGAGCAACTCCACAATGGCTGCATCCGATGATGCTTTGAGACTAGCGAAAGCAGGTGATGCAGCAGATACGGTCATGCCTTTGACCTTGTAGCCATCCTTGACCGTGAACGGGATACCCTCCAGAGTCCGTGGTGGCTTTCCAGAAGCGCGGAAGTCATCCGAGGCTTGGGCCTCTGTGAAGACATCAGGGTTAAGGACACAGATCGAGTTGAGACGTGGACCCCGGCAGTCATACTTGCCGATGCGATGCAGGTAGAGAGAGACTAGCTCGACGCTTGTGATGACTCGAGTGTTTAGCAACTGTTTGAGATCGCTAATGCTTGCCTCAAGCAAGCTGAAAGACGCCTTGTCTGTCATGGTGAAAGAAGGATGAGTGTGAGTTGTGGGATAGGATATGGATTCCTAGTTGATTACAAGAGACTGAGCATATCTTGAGGTAATAGACAATATTTATAGAATTCCAGTTGCAATATTAACCAGCTTGTACACCCAGATCGATATGGTCTCCGAAGTTGAACGCGCCCATGTCTTGACATTCTCGGAGCTTCGGCTGGCCGCGGTCCCTATAAAGATATTGTTTTACAGGCTCTCGATCAATATTATTGGACTATCGTGTGAAAGTCCCGAAAGGAAGATGAAGCATTCAACTTCGGAGGTTATAGGTTAGCTAATCCGGAAAGCCGTTTTTGTAAGTTCGAAGCGAAAGCTCCATGACTAATGGAAGCACCCTATTGGCTGGCACAACCACCCAATACCCGGATGTTGGTCCACAGTGAAGCTTTCCGAGAGCTCTGAGGGGTCAATCGAACCGAGAACTCGAAAAGCGCCAGGGTTACTGGTTTGGGAACATCGGAGAGTAGTCAGCGTCTGACCTTACGAGGGGAGGGCTCATGTCCGCTTGTTCCTTGCTCCGATGTAAACTCCAGCATCCACAATCTGTGTTCTTAACAATGGGGGGCTCCAAGAAAGCTGAATGCTGTTGGACATGTAAAATAAGGCATGTCAAATGTGACGCAACTCCGGCGGCCTGTGTGCAGTGCACAAGTCGAGAGATCAACTGCCATGGATATGGCCCAAAACCATTTTGGATGAATGGTGGTGAAGAGGAGGAGCGAGAAAGGCAGCTTATCAAGCGCGCCGTCAAGAAAAATTTCAAGCGGAAAAAGAAGCTTCAGCATCGCCTAGTCAAGAAACAGGATCATCCACAACCTCGAAATCAAAACCCAATTCTGCCAAGGTTGTTGCCGGATGTAGAGATTGCAACCCCTCACGGTAAGTCCAAGTCTCATGGCCTGCATACCGTTAGCATTTGGAATGGTTAGAGATATACTTACCCCATAACATGTATTTGCTTATTTAGAGACCACAGCATCACCAATACGGACCCCACAATCGTTACAAAGTCGCGTTTCCTTCGACCGCTCATTTCCAGAGCCCCTACAATATGACGAAGCAAGTCTTTTGATGCATTATCTGGACTATGTATTCCCCTACCAATACCCATTCTCTGAAAAGGGAAATTGGTCCCGTGGCTGGCTTCTGTGGCTCTTGAGCAAAAATGGACCGCTTTATCGAGCATCAATGGGCCTCGCAGCGCTGCATCGGCGATCACTTCAAGGCGGAATCGAGAGCCACCATCTTGAACTTGAGTTTCACACCAAGGCCCTAAGACAACTTCAGGAATTTATTATTTCCTTTAACATAAATGAGCTTCGACCCGAGGACGAGAATCTCGTTGAGGCAATAACATGTGGCGTGGCTCTCATTAGCTTTGAGGTGAGTCAAGTCACTCATTTGAGGTTGGAGCTGGAAAGGTACCCAATGAAGCCCTAACAGCTGAAAGGTCCTCAGAGGGAGCACGGGTAACTGGCAACCTCATCTATGCGCTATGGCGTCAATTGCCATAGCAGTTCATAAACAGCATAAGCTTCCACAGTCACCAGATCAACTCCCCCTTCCACTGTTCGAAAACAAAAACACTGCAGCCCTAGCGTTCCACACCCCAGTATTGTTGTGGATGGACATATTGGCCTGCATAGCAACCCTGAAAAAACCAAAGCTGCCATACGAAGAATGGCTGGGTCCAAGTTGCAACTTTGAGCTTGTACGTATCATGGGATGTCATAACTCCGTGATGAAAGCCATTGGCAATTTGGGAGCCTTGCAGGAGTGGAAGTTGGAAGTCTTCGACGTAAATCACCTTAAAAATGCGCAATTCTGGAGGAAAATACAATGCATCGAAGATGAACTCGAAGATTGCATGGAAGCAATCCCCATAATTTCATCGGAGGTTCGTAAACTATCACCTTGAACGATCGTTTGCCATAGCTGACACAAGCAAAGTCACTATGCCGATCTAATGAAGGGTGTGCCACTCGTGTATTTGCCGCTGCAGCGTTGGTGCAACTTCGGGTTCTCGACGCTCAGATCTCACCACGTCCCTCGTCAACTAAAATAAGGAGAGCAGTGAGCCGCACGATGTCGGAGATCCAGGTGATCCGGGGCACAATTTCTCCTCGACAGCTGGTCTGGCCAATCTGCGTCGTTGGCTGTGTAGCTGATGCAGATCAGAGATACTTCTTTGAGCATCTCCTGGAGAATGTACTCTCTGAAGGGAGCAGCATATTTGGAAATTGTGGAACGGTACTGGACATTTTGCGAAATTGTTGGAAGTTCCAGACTAAGCAGCCGGATATTCAATGGGACTGTGGCAGTACAATGAAGCATATGGGTATATGCGCTCTACTTATATAAGTAATAGTGTATAGTATGTGGAAATCTACTTAAAGCAAGTGTACTGCGTCTTGATGCCTACGCAACCGACTTGACAGCGGCAATGATACCATCCACACTTAGCCCCTGGGCATTGATCTGCTCATATAGGCCACCACTACCTTCTCGAATAGCACCAATGCACTTGTACTTCGGTGTGAGATTGCGCTCAAGCAGTTGAGACCCGAGGCGAGACCCAAGACCAGTCTTCTGAGCAATAGACTCCACAACAACCACAAAGGGAGAAGAGCCGTAGAGCTTGATTGTCTCCTCGTCGACGATATTAAGTGTCGGCTTATTGATAAGACCAACGTCAATACCCTCCTTCCTAAGGCGCTCGACGGCATCAAGGGATCGGAACACCATATCACCGTACGAGACGACGTAGCCGGCAGAACCACGACGAATCACTTCTTCTTTTCCAGGAACAAACTCGTACCCCTCGCCATAGAGTAGCTGGTCAGAAGAACCGTCCTTTAAAAGATAAGGAACAGGGGACCTAATGGAGAAGATGAAGCGCAGACCCTTGTCGAAGAAGACTTTCTTCACTACCGCCTTCATCTGTTCGCCGTCCGCTGGAAAGTAAAGAGTGGTGGTCTCGGCATCCATCAGACCATTGTCCGCAAAGAAATGATTTAATCCAAAGTGGCATGTATTATCCGCCATTCCTGATATTCCTGAATGCGAAAAACTACTATTCATCAGCTCTTGGCCATCTTCGTATTGGGGAGAAAATTGCGTACTGTGACAACACGCTGCACTCATTAAGACGAGCCATCGTAATTTCAGAAATGATCATTTCCAAGAAAGCTGAAAAGGTTGAAAAGACTCCTTGGCGCTCTCCGTTGCTTCTAAAACCGAAGCCAGCGGCAGCAGAAAAGTTTCCGCGCTCCATGACTCCTGACGGAACGAAAACTTCGGGATGTTTGGTATGAATAGACTTCAAGCCGGTCGAGCCTTCCAGATCGGAATCAATAACCATAACTCGACGGATGGCTTCCTCTTTGCTCAATGTGTCGAGAACCGAGTTGACTGCCTCACCAAAGATAACGCGATTGGCACCTTCGTCTTTGGTGGAGCCAAGATACTGGTGCGGATCTCGTCCGGGCTTGATTTGGTCATAGAAAGCGAGCTGTTCCGGCTTGTAGCCTCGCTTTGTAAGGTACTCGCGAGCAATATCAACCTTGATCACTTCATGGGCGGAAGTCTGGCCCTCTATGCCCTCAATACCTGCCGCCATTTTACGGTTTGAGACGACGGCAGCAGGACCGTCATGGTTGATCACCTCACAGATGGCGGGATAAAGTGAGTCAAGGTCCTCTCCTTGAGCGCTGACGACTTTGATTCCATGACCCTCTATAGTACGGGCCATTTCGAAGCCTTTCAGATACTCTGAGGGGTGTCCGGCGATTGTGACATCGTTATTGTCAATGAAGAGCTTGACTCGTAGATTGTTGGCCGCTGCAATTCTTGCCGCTTCTGCGTCGTTACCTTCTTGCTGGGAGCCATCTGAACCTAACAGAATTACGTTCTTGTTCTTATTGGCCATAGCAATACCATTCACCATGCCCCACATGTGGCCGAGTCTCCCGGAGCTGAACTTAATGCCCGGGGTCAACCCCAATTCCGGATGGCCTGGAAGCTTTGAGTCGGCAGCACGGTACTGCAGAAGGTGATCGGGTTCGATCTTGCCATCGAGGGCAGCAAGCAAATATTGTGTAGCGACACGATGTCCGGCCTCGTCGAACAGGGTATCCACGAAACTCTCAGGTGCATTGTTGATAAATGCCAAAAGAATGCATACCTCCGGGGCTGTGTCATAGGGACCTCCAGTGTGGCCAGCGACTCCCCGAGCCGCGCCGGTGGCGGTGAAGGCGATAATAGCGTCTCGGAATACATCAATGTTGTGCTGGAGATCTCGTCTCTGTTGATCTGATAGTCTAGGATTTTTGTGATCAAGCTTGAGCTTTTTGAACTGGGTCAGATCAACAGGGAATTTGAGTTCCGAGGTCATGATGACGATTAACAAACACAAGGCCTAGTATACTGTGGAAAGATAGACGAGGATCAATCGCACAACACGTAAAAGACAAGGCTAGCTTCGAGTTGGGATTTGAAGATTTTTTATCAAGAATCTAAGATTTCTTGGTTTGAAAATGGGGAGCGGGCTTTATAACTGCTTCGAAGGAGCTTTATGAGTGTTCCTAAGTACCCCGCGAGGGACATTTACATTACATCATAGGCTAATAAAAATGTTATGAACCTGCTTAGGCAATGTCGTGTAATCCCACAAAGTTCGCCACATAGCGTCAGGAAACATACTATTTGTTGAAAGAGTGGGAAAAAAAAACCCCGGCAGACGTGAGTAGGTGATCCAGTTGGCTGCGAGTGCGAATGCGGGATAGTATACATCAGCCACAATCGAGAAAATCATTTTACACAGGCCACTATGCTATATCCAGTATGCAACTATGTATGACCGGCAGGGTGGGAGCAATCTGCAAGCCAGGATGACGTCCATTTCTAGGGGACTTTTAACATGCCTTGCATGCGTACGTCTAATATTTGGGCTCTTGATCGAAGCAAGCTATGGCATGAACAGAAACTTCATCCAAGGTGTGCTCATACAGAATAAAGAATTTGTCTGATTTGTTATATACAACAGCATAGCGACACAATATGCAATCGATTCCATCAAATATGATACGACGGTTGGTTATTGCTCACGGTAGTCCTTTGAAGCTATAGGTATGATACAGTTCGTTGGCTTGGCAGGAGCAAGAGCTCATTTACATAATCCGATACCATGCCTGTCAGTGCCTATAAATATGATGAATACGTCGTGATAATTCATTCCCTTTTTCATGGTAATGTTGAATTACTAGCCAGGAACTCTTGGCTTGGTGACAGGCCAAAGCGCTTTCCTAGTCATGAGTCTCGGTTAAACTCATACTCGCAATATAATCGAAGACCCGGCTGGCCTCTTCACACGTTCTGGCCGTCAAACTGCAAAGATGGAAATCAAAAAAGCAGAGTGTAAAGGTCTTGGAGGGGAGTGTGCTCCATAAACACACGGAGGATATTGCCCTTTGAGGCTGCTTTGGTATTACGCAGCGAAGGATTGTTTTCCCGCCAGCGCGCGAGCGGAGAAACTAATGCGTGTTGGTTCTCAGGCTATCACGTATCACTTTGGTTGCGAGCTTTACGGAGCCCTGAAGTACTTCTGGTGGCGAACTGTGGGGAGCGCGCTCTGTTGCCTTGTCAACACTAACATGTGCTCCATGATTGAAGCAATTGCCCAATTGCCAGGTATAATAATAGGCGCCCGATCTTAGATATTCCCTCCACAGGTAAACGCTACGATATGTGAAGCTTTTTTGTCAAGATGTCTGCCACTGTTCGTCAGAATGGGCAGTTGTCATCGTGTGAGCATTGTCGCAAATCAAAACTGCGCTGTGATCATGGTCGACCTCAATGTGCTCGCTGCACCAGACGCCGGCTGACTGGGCAATGCTTCTATCATCCTGCGCCAATGGCCCGACGCCAGCGCAGCGAGTCGCGTGTGGTCGAACCTTTGTAAGTCATGGCAATTCTTAATTCACACGACGTTTACGCGATTACAAACTTACACGCCAATCTGGCCCCTCTAGACTTCCAGCAAATGTTACCCAGCCGCCGCTTGAGACCTTGGCAGAGGTATCGAGTTTGACAACGTTGTCCTCAGGTTCATCTTCGTCCTTGCTGACATCTTCTTCGGCCACATCGATTTCTTCTCCATTTAATCTAGCCAACGGTTTGGTTACCATGTAAATTTCCATCTTGTCACTAACAGAGGCTGATCGAACGACATCCTCACGTCAATATCCATCGCTGACTCACTCCGGAGTTTCTCATCTGCAGCAACCGTTCCGTGCGAATTCTTCTCTCGTAAGGGAGGATGAGAACTTACTGCAACTGCTCCTTGAGCACTATTCCCACCCAGATCTCGAAGAACTAGTCGATAACTGGTATAAAGATCTCGGAGACAGTCCAATTGGTGGTCCTTTAGCCAAGGCGGCTTGGCGTGCCATCCAGAGCAATTTACAGAACCTTCATTTCAGCCGATTACTGAATCGTCTCCAGGCCACCTCTCTCGAGATTTTTGAGCACACTTCTCTACCTTTTTTGAGCACACTTCTCTACTACTCAACATGCCTACGACGGCCGCAGACGGTGCTCTTGAAAAGGAACTTTGCACTATCCGGTGGGAACTGTTGGAATGTATTTCGCGCTCATCGGGATGGTTATCGCATCGGTTTAAAATCCCGGCACTAGCTTCTCGGGTCGCAAGTGGTTTGGTGACCGTAAGGCAACGTCCAGTGATGCCTTTGACGCCTGTATACGATGCGACGCTCTGTGCAATCGTGTTGGCCAAATGAACGACCTATCTGTGTGGATTGCGGTCCTGGCCACCACACTCTCCACCTGGTGTTCCGGGGACGACTCTTGTAAGACCTGGCGTCTAATGGGGAATTTGTCGTCCACCATATTCGCCCTCAACTACCACAGGGGCTTTCGGGATGACACGAATACCCCGGCATACTTGGTCGAGCTTCGCAAATGAGCCATTGCCCTATCACATGAACTGGATAAGTCCTTGGCGACGTTTGTCGGTCAACCACTACGCTTGAATAGGAGATACCGTACTATAGAATTGCCCCTTGATCTCTCGGACTCGGTAATTGTCGGGCCTGCTGCAACGTTAGCGCTAGAAATATCACGGCTAGATGGTAATGGTTGGAATAAAGACATGAGCGTATATCCGGCTTCTCGTCAACGAGCAATTGTTTCGCTAAGCTCAATCCGTGAGGAAGTTCTTGAGTTGTCACTGGGAAGCATAACTCAAGATCTCGTTCATGAAGCTCAGTAAGCAATGGACAAAGAGCAACCCCCATCCACCCCCCCTCTCTAAATTCTTTTGTTCTGTTGTGATTAAGTGGCTGACATGCTTATTTAGGGAAATATTGACTCGGGCATCCTCGACCTGGGAGACAATGCCTCAGTTCATGCTGTATGAGCCATCCTTATGGGGCCAAATGTCACCTCCAGCCATTCTAATGCTGTTGAGCCTAAAACTTGAGTATTTGTATGGCAAGTTTCTTCTATACAAGGTGCTAGTGAGTCAAAGTAGTAGCTATCGCCATGCATTGGTTCAAATCTCCCACGAGACCCTAGGAATAGTGTTCTCAGTAATGAAGAAGAGAGATCTTATTGGCCCCCATATGGTCGATTTGGAATGGACGGTAAGTATAAGTAGCTCCAGGCTTGCATTGCTGGTACAAACTGACCAGCTCAAGATGGTATTTTACGCGATGCCATGCGCGAGCGTCTTGGTTCTAGAGTTATTTAGACTAGCTAGCTCACCAAAACCAGAGCTATCCGTCGCTTCGAACGGATCGACCATCATCCAAGACATCAGCGTTCTCATATCGTGCTAAGATTTGCTAACTAAGTCAGGAACGGGCAATTATGAACTCTGCAAACAGGCTCAGTTGGTCTTTTCAAAAGCTCTGGATCAGATCCTGAATCATGAGGTGCCTTTAATGCGTTCACTGCTAGACAGTCCAATCGTAAACACGTACGTTACACCGTCGGCAGAGCTTCCTGAGGCGCACAACCCGGACACTATTACTCAAGATCTGCAATGGAAAGCACGGTTGGATACTATTGACTTCCAAGAGGAACTATGGCTGGAGATGCTAAAACCTCCTACCAAGATCTTGACGATTACTGAAGCTGGTGACACGGTAAGCTTCAGGGTACCAATAAAGGTTTATATATAGCTGATTCTGGAATACTGCGTATCTAGAAGGCGACAAAACATAAAAAGAGCATCTCACATCTCGCTGCAGGAGAGTTCCTGACGTATTTGAGACTGACAGTGGTGAGGAGGCAAGCTCGCTCTTAATAAGCTCAATTTGTGGTAAATCTCTCCAACTCAACCCATCTAGCTGTTGCTTGACTCAATTCTTTCCATCTTTAGCTTTGAATCAAGGAGTTGCGCATGCTTTTCTAGAGTTGGATGGTCGATAATTTCTTCTATTGTAATATCTGGCGCAATTTGCGCTTTGTAGTGTGCTAGTAATAACACTGTGGCTGCATGACCACCGCCTACTTCGTCATACGGCGTTATTGGAGAGACATACTCAAATTTTTCAGGGCTAGTGAATCAGACGGGTTGCCAATTTTTTCGTACCTTTAGCGATTAGTGCTTCAGTCCTCATACGCTGACTTCACCGTCATCGTCCAGCTGCAATTCATCACCATTCGGAGGTAATGAGTGCAACTCACCACGTTCGCGGTCGATTTCACTTTGGGCTATTACTGTGGAAACATCATTTGACAAAAACATGGATATTTCCAGAACTAAACTTTTGAAGAGATTCTGAGCTCATAGAGCAAGATCCTCGTTGCAATAAATAGTCACTTCAATCTTATTGCCCTTGGGGATAGAGATAATACACATGTCCGTAGAATTACGTGAAGAACATCGAAGATTCACATCGGACTGTGCCTTCAAGTGATTAATTTTTAAGGAAAGAACAACGTCAATATTTCAATATATCAAGATCCATTCGTATAGTGTTGACCGCGGCCCACGCTGTGCGGGCTTCCATAAAACAATTAAAAGCAAAAGATTCGCGATGAATCGAGGCAATATAACGATCTTGAATTGCTTCTAAATATTCGCGGTCGTCATGCGAAAGCAAGTCTCAATTCTAATCGGAGCGATGTTGACGTAAAGACTCAACCATGTCGTCTCCACTTGAGATGGGCAATGTTCTGCCGGACCTACATGAATGTTTTCAGTGATTTGGAACCAGGATTGTTCGGTTATAAGTCCTGGCGACAGGATATTGATATGACTGACTAGAAGGTGATAGCTGTATCATCTTCGTCATATGTGTACGGTGCGTCTCTGCTTGCCAAATACATTCAGCTTCTTTTTGCTGTTCTACACCGATTGCCTTTGCTGCAAGTATGGAAAAGCTCGGATGAGTCGGCAGCACGTGATCATCAAAGGCGTCGGATAAGTCAAACTCGATATATGATAAGAAGTTGCGTCGTATTGAGTGTGAGAAAGGTCGTTGCAAGCGCGCAGAAGCTCTCCCTGGTAGGGTCAGTGGTTATCATTCGTACACTGCCCTCGTTGATGATGGAATCTTGACTGTTAGTAACCATAGTGTCGATCTAGCCATGAATCTCTTATTGAGATTTGGTATTCTGGCACACGTGTTCATGCTTTAGATACGATTTTCTCCGCAGAATTTGCAGAATCTAGGAACAAAGCGCTACAAATGCAGTGCGCAAAATTGAATTGCGTGTAATCACAGTCTTGAACACCGTGAGGGGTCCTCTTTTTCTAGAGAGGAGAAGAAAAGGTTATGGTGATGCCGCATCCTCGACTTTCATCAGGTCGTCTGCAAAGGCCCAGGTGTGAAAGTCCGTTGCTGTAATGAACTATTGCACGTTATCTATACCTGGGTATCTGTAAATACGTTGAGATGTACCTTCGAACTGCATCATCCTGTAATCGTGCTGTCGGTACTTGGCTCTTCACAGTTTCAACCATCGAGCCCGTAATTGACTCTGAGCAAGGTTTAGCCATAGGTTGCCTGTTAGAAAGTATTGACATACTTTTGACTGTGATATATTTTCACATTTGACTTCAATTTAACATAGTTCCTAAATACCCTCAATTAAAAATACTTCATCTTATCCAAGACACCCACGATGTTACCCACTGCCATGTCCCCACCCCCTCCAACTGAAGGACAAGGGGTTGATTGTATGGAACATCAGGCACTTCTGATGACTGCTCCAGAGATTCATGCACCTCACGAGACTGTTCGTGCGTAAGATGTCGCTGAACATCATCACACTTTCTGAAAATCTCCTCCCTGTACAGCCCATACCTATCTGAGTAAAACTGAGCGTTAAAGTGAATAGCACTCAAGAGGTGGTTGAGCAGAGAATTCGCATCTTGCTTCATAATAAGGTTGGTCTTAACATCCGCTCCGAGATTTAGCATCAGTAACGCTAGGTCTAGGAGGGCTAGCACGATGCGGGGGTTTTCAAAATTGAAAAAGTCCGGAGGGTTCCACGAGGTTATGATAGCCTGGATGTACCGGAGCACAAATGTCCACGGTGTCCAGCAGATGGCACCAGAGCTGTGCCACCGGTCTGTCCAAAGCGGCGCTAGCTGCGGCGCTAGCTGAACGGGATCAGACACAGAGAATTTTACGACTGACAAAGCCTCGACTATGTGTTGACGGACGAGCCCATCCTTCTCTTCGATGTAATGGATGAGGAGGTAGACTTCCCGCGGAACGCGCTGCTGGGATGGGTGATCGATATTCATCAGCACGGGTAGGTACCAGAGAGGCGCGCTGAAGGCGCAGCGCATGAATAATTTGGCTCTAGTATCTAGTTCTAGGCGAGAACAGCCATGATCGCATGAGCCGCGGATGATGGCGTCGCGCTCAGAATTGCCCGCTAAGGGGTCGTCCACGCCAGACTTGGGTAGGAGTCTGTCGAGTTCTGGTAGATACCGCTGGTGGAACTTTTGGCTCAGAGGCTCGGAGATGTTCTTCTCGTAGATAAATAACCTGGTCAGTCCTGAGTGGTATTTCTTCTCTATGTAACCTTCGTTGCTGACTGGGGAAGGAATCAACTGCAGCTCGGCTAGCGCAGACGAGAGCAAGGCATGCTCTGGGTCAAACTTGGTATCCGTGGTGAGGGCCTGGATTTTCTGCCAATTGGGGTCGAGTTGGAGGAACTCGACGACGGTACGGTGGAGAAATCCCACGACGGAGTATGCCTCGTGATGTACCTGGTTTCCCCCATCTAGTCTCTGAACCTCCAGCAGCCCGCAGCAGCGACTCCGCAGACGGCCTTCAATCGACTTATTGATCCATCTGATAGTCCTGTCCGCCAGAGGTTTTATAGGCTTGGAGAAGACCCTATCGTAATCTTCATCCTCGGCAAAGTACAACTGAACGGCTGTCATGGGATATTCTTCACCGAAGCTGAGGCTCAGGATGGAAAGTTGTAGATATTTCGAGCTCTGTACGCGATATTTTGAATCGATAGCGCCAAGCATTCTATCGTAGAGCTTTTCGAGGTCCGCTGGAAGATTGTTGATCTCCTGGAGCATCTCCGGGACCGAGTCATAGTCTTGTAGTTGCCGTGTGAGAATGCGGATTACCAGCACGACCCAGAGGAATACGCCGCAGGCCCGTGTAGTAATAATGTCGATGAGTTTGGCGGTAATACCCACTTCTACCTCTTCCATGTCGTTCAAGATAGAATTGCTGTAGAGGTGATCCTCGACATATTTGAGTATGTCCGGGCCGGTAAGGTCCTGGAGACACAGTTGTGGGCATGTGGCGAATCTCTCGCAGCACACAGGGATGGGCCTGCTCGATAGCAGAATTTTTATCGAAGATGACTGCGTAGCCTGATTGAACAAGTCACACAGCTCATTCAGATCTCCAGCATACTCATCTAGCCCGTCGACAACAAAGCAGATTCGCATATCGGCAGGAATCACGTCCACGAGCCGGCTGAATGCGAGCTTTAGCTCTACCCCTGATAGATCGAGAGCTCCACGAATCTGGTCAGTGAGAATCTCACGGCAGACGTCTGGGAATAGTCGCAGGTCCAGTCCAGGCCGCGCAGTGAGTATCTGGAAAAGTAACCCTCGAAGGAGGCCAATATGCGACTTCTGGAGAGGCGTCCCGGCGTACCAGAAGTAAAAGGTCCCCAGTGAAAGTTGTGCGTCGCCTCTGGAACAGGCCCAAGTCTGAACGGCATCATGGAAGCGCTTCTCTCCAAGCACGTATTTGAGCAGGGATGACTTACCAGACCCAGCTTTACCCGAAACCCAAAAGCAGCCGGAATCCTGAGATAGCCACTCTAGCAGCCCGTCGTCCGCGCCGGGTTTTTTCGGCTCTAGAATCCAGTTGAAGGTTTTAGCATGGACGGGCGAAATTTCTTCTTGTCTCTGATAAATACCACGAAAATGCAACGCGTCCAGGAGGACCTTGCTGCAGTCTTTAGTGGCCTGTGTCGAGAAGCCAGCCAGGCCTGTCGTCCCTTCATTGGTGAAGTTCGTGGAAGATTGATACTGCGACCATTTGGTATCTTTAAGAATATCATCGTGGATAGAGTTGGCGACGTTGATGTTGTTCGGTTGTAACTTTGACGATGGGAATGCAGCGACTGAAGCTGGGTGGGCGAGAATTGTAGGTTGCCTGCTGCCACGGGTCGTCAGGATGGCAGCCATGACATCCGGATTGGCCAGACAGTCTTGCGAATGAAGGGCAACAGCCTCTATTATCTCGTCGCTTTTGCCGCGGATATCCTCGAGTGTCTCCGACTGACGCATCTGGTAGGTATTGAGAACGAACAACAGCCGAAGCGCCAGCTGAGATCGAAAGTCGTCATGTCGCTTCCTCAGGTCCTCGATCTCGCCCTTCTTCCATGTCGTTTTGAGAGCTATCTTTGCTCTGTTCAACCTTGCTCTAACACTCTCCTTGGCAGCCCGGATTTGGGGCTCGAGGGACGGGTCCGTGTGTCTACCCGCCTCGTTATTGGCTTCGACAGGTACTAGGCCATTCTTATTTACGCCTGTCCCAGAGTGACCGGTATCTTTCTCTTTAGCCTCGCTGTTTTCCGCCTGAGAACCGGGATTTTCGGTCTTCTGATTTAAAACCAGACCAGCGATGTACTCTTGTATTTCGTCCGAGATAGCTCTGCACTGCTGAGCCACCTCAATCAAGCCTCTCTCTTCGGTCGTCAAAGGCTTCTTCTCGAGAGGGCGATAATATTCGAACAAACCAGTCCCGATCTTTTCTAAATCGGCCGACATCTTGCTCAAGTGTATGACAGAGGCTCCTGAGCCATTTGCCGCAACTTCTCTGGTCGCATTGAAGACTTTGACACCAAAGTCGAGAAACTGGGCGATGGAGCTGGCAAGCCCGACGGCTGCTAAAGCCTCCATGTTGCCTTTATTTCGGGAGTAGGATATGGAAGTTGGCTTCGAGAGGGATGAAAACGCGAGTCAAGACCTGCGCATGAGAAATCCCATACTCTAGAACTGGTGAGTTAGACAACGAGCGATATGTAGTTGCCTAGCAAGGCAGCATCGAGGGTTGCATAACCACGATCACGTGTACTTGGGTACCAATCGTATTGCCTTGTATGCCTTAATGACTCCCAAGATCATTGGCCGGCGAACGCCGTTACACAGGGCGGACAGCTGGGCTTATCCACGCGACAGGGTCAACCGGCCTTCGCCACAGATGGTGCGAGGTATTCTTAATAACAATCCTGAAGCATTCAAACCAAGCCTCCTATTAGGTACTGTTAATAGGCTATAATTAGATTATCGAGAACTGAGTTCTTGTCACCAGGGCTCAGCGGAACACAAGGGCCGCTCTTTTGCTTTCTCGACTTCGTCTTTCTGTGAGCTCCATAATGTCGTTGCCGCTGTCACGGAAGCTTGCCGGATCCATGGACTTGGTCTCGGAAAACCCAAAGATGGCCCGCCATGGGGACCTCCCTACAAGACAAAAAAACCAACCTGGGTCAAATGCGAGGCGGAATAACATGGGCTGTTGCTTGTTGCAACTTGCCATGACTCCATTTTATGACGCCTGATGATACGCATTTCTCTTGGCTCTCTGAGCATTTGCCGTCCCACCTAGTATGTTCATGGTGATGGCGGTGGTGATGGCTTTTCGCTCCTATTGTGGTGCAGATCGTACCTAGATTGCTCCTCCCCCGCCAAACTGTTAGCAAATGGATTACCGTACTCCACCAGTCAGTCACATCACCACAGTCACGGGGGAGGAGGTTCTCGACTTCGGCTACGCATGCCGTTGTCAACAGCTTTTCAAATCCGGCATTCAGTTAGCGGGCGCACAAGTGTATCGAGGCCGACGCCTGTAATACATAGCCATTGTCGGCAAGCAGCCGCAACAACTCATGCACGCCACAGAATGTACCCCTGTCACTCCGAGCTCCGATCGGAGTAGAGGTCCGAATGGTCAATTTGGTCCGGGTCTCTGACCAGAGAACTTGTGTAAGTGTGTTCTGTGAAGGCTGCGGTAATTGGGATATATGATCGTCCTTGGATATGGTTTCCTTCGCAATGTGATTGTAATCAGTGAATACAAAAAGACATATCGGTTTTTTTATTTACCTAGCTAGAATCGCGGAATGCACAAAGGGAGAAACGATGGAACCTAAATCACTAACCCCCGAAAACGTTCTGACGGAGGACTCATCAAAGTATCCTCGTGGTATACCGTTATTTCTCAACCTGTTCTCAATAATACTAGCAACCATTGTGTGCGGCTATGTATGTAGAGCATGTAACAGTATTATTTTCAATATTATTCTTGCTACATTGAGACTGGACGCCAATTGCGTGACGACTATTATCCCAATTATAACAGACAGATTCAACTCATTCAACGATGTTGGTTGGTATGGTGCTGCCTTCTTACTGGCTTCAGCATCCTCACAACTATTCTACGGAAAGATATATATCTTTTTTACCCAGCCAAAATTGTCTTCTCTACCGTCGTCTTCACCTTCGCCGTAAGGAGCCTTATATGCGCCGTTGCGCCGAATAGCTGTAGTACTTTCATCGTGGGCCGCGCCATCTCCGGCTTGGGAAGCGCGGGGATATTAGCCGGTACCAATATTATCATATCACGGCGCGTACCAATTCGAATGCGACCAGTTTACTCTAGTATTATTGGGGCGATCGAATGCGTGGCCATCTCAATTGGACCATTGCTCGGCGGCGCGATAGCAGAGACTTTGGGATGGAGGTGGTGCTTCTGGTTTCCTTCTGCCTCTTGCAGGCCTAACTATTATCATCACAATGCTCTTCTTGGGCAACGAAGAAGACTCCGCACAATCAATATTGACTTCAAAGGAGAAAATTCGCCGGCTCGACTTACCCAGCCTCGCGCTGTTTATACCAGCCATTGTGTGTCTGATCTTGGGACTCCAGTGGGGTGGGACTTATTATCCTTGGAGCAACTGGATGGCCTTTGTGCTATTTTCAATCTTCGGATGCTTCCTCTTTGCCTTCGGGTTGAACCAATATCGGAAAGGCGAGGAGGCCACTGTGCCTCCTAGAATATTTCTTACTAGAACTATTCTGTTTGGATCGTGGTATTCCTTTAACACTTCTGGGGCGCTCTATGCTGCGGTATATTATGTACGTTTGATTGAGTTGTGATGTGTATCATTTTGCTTACTTATAAACAGCTCCCAATTTGGTTTCAGGCAGTCAAAGGCGCGTCGCCATTCGGCAGCGGTGTTCGCGGCCTTCCGCTGGTATTGTCTATAGTGGTTCTATCCTGATGTCAGGGAGTATAGCCAGTATCATCGGCTACTATACTCCAACAATGCGTCTCGGATCCGTATTGATGGCGGTTGGTGCAGGCATGCTAACAACATTCCGCCTCGACACATCAATGACATTATGGATGATATACCAAATCATCTTTGCCTTCGGTATTGGGCTCGGGTTTCAGCAGCCTATTATCGCTACTCAAACGAATTTTTAAGGAAAGGACCTCCCAATTGCCCTGGTGATGGTTGGTTTTATACAAAATTTGGGAGGGATTGTAGGCCTTTCTTCCGCAAAACGTTTTCACGAATCAATTAATGCATAGCATACATAAAGCGGCGCCTGATATTGACTCAAAGCTGGTTCAAAAAGTAGGAGTACTTACCCTGAAACTGATCTTCACTAAGAAGGAATTGAATGAGATACTTCCAGCTTACAGCCTCGCTATTACTCGGGCACTTTTAGTGGCAAGAGTTATAGCTTCAGTGACAGCAATTGCTTGCTATGGGGTTCCTTTATATTCGGTTAGAAGCAGGAATACGCAAGAGAATAAACTATAGAATGGAAAAGCGTTCCAACTAGAGCGGAAGTTACTGTTTCGATAGAGTGCGGGCCAAATTTTCAGGCCATAATTAGGGTTAAAAGGTGCATTAATACACCCGGTGAGTTGACTATTAGCAGAATTGACTCGGCTTAGCGTTGAATTTATATCAGTTATTCCTCTTGACTGTCATCATCATTCCTCCTCTTGGCCTTGCCTCTATTCCCAATTCCTGGAAGATAATATCCCCAAAAACTGTATCAAGGCTTGTATACGATGTCTTCGGTTTTGCATTTGGCTTGAGGCCAGCACACTCAAACTCAAAATCCCGAACGACCATTAGTAAAATGACCTTCAGCTCATTCATAGCGAGGTTCTGTCCCAGACATGCGCGGGGCCCACGACCAAAAGTCCTGAAATACGACCGTGGAACTCCTTCTGAATCTAGCCAACGTTCAGGGCGAAACTCCGTATGGTTCGGGAAGAAGTCTGAGTTGTAGTGGAGGTCGTGGCCGTTCAAGACAACACCCTGATGCCTATCAATTGGATAGCTCTTACCTTGAACGGTAAGCTTGGCACCCGCATCTGCCTCCCTGACTGTGAAGCCCACTGGGAACAAGCGGAGGGATTCCTTGATGATAGCATCTGTGTATGGAAGATCCTGGAGCTTTGCTGGCGCGTCTAGCAGCAATTCTACAGTACCATCAAAGGTTTGGCCGAAGACATCATCATGCTCTTGTCGCATTTTTTTAAGCGCTGTTGGAGCGTGCGACAGGAGCATGAGAATGTACTGGGTTAAGTTAGCAGAGTAGCAGAAAGTTTTGAACGCGAACAGGCTGTACGCACGCATAAGCTATCAGTAGTAGTACCATGACCACCAAGAAGCAGTCCCTTAATGCTATACAAATAACCTATTAGCAAGGGCAAATTGGCAAATGGGTGAATGAATGAACGAATAGCAGAGCACTAACTTGGTCAGAAGCAGTTGGGTATCTGTGTATGATAGACTTATTTGCTTTGCTGCTCTGACTCCACCGCTCGATTCGGATTGCATTATATGTTCCCGGAGCATTAGATCTAGAATGCTGCTCGGGTCCTTTCTGGATGGCATAATCCCCTCGTTCAACAATAAGTCTAACCTGTCCTTAATTTTGCCGAGGATTAAAGGATGAAGTCTGCCCAGAACCTTTCGCTTTTTCCACCACTTGGCTACTCGTGCGATGGGGTTATAGCTTGCAACCAGATCTGTTTGGTTGTGGGCGAGGTCAACTAATTCCCTGAGGTCATTTAAGTATGGGCTATTGGCTGTCTGAGCATGAAGACGAAAGTTGAATACAACACGACCAATAACGTCAAAGATGAGCCTTGCGGACAGCTCCTCGACGGAGAAGACTTCTCCAGATTTGGCATATTTCTCAAGGGTGGCACGGTACAAGGAGCACTCATCAACCATGACAGCAGTTAGACTGCGTATATGAGACCATGAGAATGCCGGAGCCATGGCATTGTGTAGTCTCTTCCAAACAGGGCCATTGGCAGTCGCGATAACATTGGGGCCGATGATGGGGGATAGAAAAGCTTCAGCCATTGCGTGCTGCTGGAGAGGGTTCCGCACTGTGACCTCTTCCATAAGCGTTGGGTCTGTCAAGACAACGCTTGAGTCCGCAATTGGCCACAAGTCGAGATAAAATATGCCTTTGAGGTTATACTTTCTGGCAATTTCCGTATAATATGCCTGGGGGTGCGAGTTTGGGGGGATCGTCGCAGAGACCTCGCCCAAGATGTTTAAATGACCCCATAGAGCGCTATGTGGTGGCCCAGGCTTAAAATATTATCAGTCGTTGAGCGAATTCATGGTAAAGACGAGGTTTGCATATGAGAACAAAGTTGTTCTTCTGCTTCTGTGCATACCAGATTCCGGTAAAACCGGCGGTGTCGGTATCCTCGCTGGAGGACTTGAAAGACAAATGCAGACACCAACGACCACAGTGCAAATGCAATGGGGTGGCTGGTGGCCAGTGAAGAAATGACACCGAGCGCTTCCATTCTTCATTTTTCAGGGTCAACTGTTCGAAGTCTGTTTGGCGATGAGGTTGAGAAAAACCAGAAGATGCTGACCTGCAACGCGTTACACAGCCTCATGTGACGTAACGCTAAGAGCCCGGCTACAGCTTCGTATTCCTGGTTATCTGCCTCATTTCTCCACTAGTACTTTTTGGAGGGGGACAGATAATCCAGGCTTATCATGCTTGCAGTACTCTGTAAGAAGAAGCACATTGGTTACAAGGGCAATTAGGCTATTAAGTGTTAGACTTTATTACCTCTAGGCGTTAGACTTCGAAAACACACAGAGTCAGCACTAAAGCAATGTCTGTAGTAGTCAGTCCTCCTAGCTCGGTTCTTCTATAATAGTCACAAACCTTTTCTAGACATGGGCCGAAGTGTACGGAGCACTCTGTATGGTATACATAGTTAGGTCAGTCATGTAATTAATATCTTGTAGTCTATCTGGCCCACGATCCCAGTGTAAATCTCCACAATTTGTGGCCCCATCAGGTGTTTCTCGATGAGCTGAGGAACATTCAATATCTCTCTCAGGGGCGGAGTTCACATTCCAGTGGAGTGAGTACCACCGCTCATCTTTAAATGTGTAGGCGTTTGTTGCCCGCTGCCTATGAAGCTCTCAGGTCATGGGATGGCCACAGCGCTGGACGGCTCCTTTCTCCTTGTGGCTACTAGATAGGCCTAGTCGCTCTCTTTGGTGGCATCCAGAGAGAGCTCCGAGTCAATTGAGCAAAGCATGATCGACGTCAACTTCACACATTCGTTCCAAGCCATGACGGTCTGGATATAGCAATAACTAGAATCTACGTATATCTTACCGAGTTTATCCCATTATTTGGCATATTTGTACGGAGCTAGATAGAAGAAAGGGCTTCGTTTTGTCGCCGATAAATTTCATGTTATCGGCTAATGCTTTGACGTTGGCTCGCACATTAAGACGCAGACCATTCGATATTGCCCAACAATAGTGGAAATATCATCACCAACCTGTCAAGCATCAATCCATAGGTGCATAGCGAGCAGTCCGGCCACGAAGCATTAGTAAGAAGGCTATGCTAGTCGTGTAGTAGCAAAGCAGCAATACGCTCTAGACCAATTAGTTATACAATCCAACAGATATATGCTCTACGCCTCTGATTGCTTCGTTTCGGAGGAGTAGTTCAGTTCATATGTTACTGCCGTTGTACAATCTAAGAGTAGCCGGTTAAAGCTTCGTTGTACAACGCCCGAAGACAATTATCATGCTGTAACTACAAGATATGTGTATCAAGAGGTAATTCAAGAATGTACCAAACGTCATTCGATACTTTTTCTAAAACAGACACAGCTACTAGTATATTAAACAAATACAACGCCTACGACCGTTATTTCATTAACCTACTTATCTCCTGTGGCGCTGAACATTATGAAGTTTTTTCTCAGGTTTGGACATGAATCATTAAATAACAAAGTGAAACCACAACAAGTTCTTTCTACTTCGCTTTATAATTTAGGTTTAAGCTAATCCATGCAGTTAATATAGCCAGGCAACCAGGCATCATATGGTACGTGAGCGCCAAGACACCCGAATCCAGGGCTCCAATATAAGCTGACGTAGGAGCCAGCTTAAACAAAGAGAACAGACAATGAAGTAGCAAATGGACAACTCATTGGTAATTAATAGCTTGCGACTGGAATTCAGCTGTTTGCAGTCAGGTTGACCTGCCCTATTTCTGTTGGATCAGGCAAGCGGACGCCGCTCTTCCTCCTGAAGACCTATTACGGGCTTCACAACTTGCTCAGAATTCTCTTTTCTTTTTCACCAGCTTCTTTAGCAAAAGTGGGAGGGTTATAGTCCACAGGACCCTGTAACCACCGAATCAACCGATTTGTGGCTTTTCTAGGGTTGAGTCCATCGGCTTTAATAACTTGGTGTTAGCATTTTCTCTCTTTGACTCTTGAGGGAGACCCCTTTGTAATTAATGGGAGCTTACCATAACCCACGAAAGGGATAGCACTGCGATAACCCATCATATCGACAATCTTTTTAGGAATCTCGCCCGAGAGTGCTTTTCTAGGATCCACAGCGAGCATTAGGTTCTCCAACGGTCGAATATAGGGCTGACAGTACTGAATCGTTGCAGCATATCGTGGCTTATCGCTCCTATTTGCTCCGCCAGAGTGCCATGTTGTGCCTAGAAAATAAATGACGCTGCCTCTGGGACAGACCACCGACTTGGCTTCTGACTCGTCGCCCAATCTGTCACTACCCCAGAGATGACTTCCCGGAATAATTCTTGTGGCGCCATTCATCTCAGTGTAATCATCCAACACAATCATCGTAGCAGCTGTGACAGGAGGTCGAGGTCTGGGCATCCGAATGACACTATCGTCGTGATGAAGAGCTTGGGCCTTCTCGCCCGGGTTGATAGTAATCGTCTCCATAATATAAACAAGATAGTCATCATCCAGGAAGAAATTGTTGAGCGCGTGGACTTGGGGTATCAGGCAAAATTTGTCAAACACGCGCGTTTTGTTCAGCAAAGCAAAGATGCGGTTCGTCTTAAACCCATCGAATGAATCGCGGCCAATGCGTGGCCTCTGGCCATGAAGTCGATCAATCTCTGCTTTTGCTTCAAGGGCCTCTGCCTCTGTAAAGGCATTGGGAATGACTACATATCCATCTCGTAACACAGCCTGGACTAGAGAACGTGTGGCCGGATCTGACGGGAGCGGTTTTGGCTTGCGCAGATAGTAGTCTCGATCAATCGGGTCAGAGGCTTGCGGATCGTTGGTGGGTGAGTTTTTGGACGGCATAATTGGGAAATATTATGAACGAGTATGTGTAATTTCCTTGGTAGGTAGTCGACAATTTGTCACATAGTTCACCTTGGTCTAGGGATTAAACGGATGTCTTCTGCTGGACCTTATATCTATACAGATAATCTCACTAATATGTTACTGTTACGTATGCTTACTATTACAAAGGGATAAAGGTTACCTTAACTCGCTAGTGCTGATGACATGTGGGCGTTGGCGATGTTTCGGTCGTAAGACCGGTCTGTGGGAGCTGGATGCCAATCTCACCTCGGCTGGACGGGTGAAGTAGACATTCACCCTGTCGTCCCATTACTACCTACCATGGGCCAAAATACAAGATTCGTAGTTCAAAGGTGAAAATAAACAGGATTGCTCATTTAGTCGTTATTAGCGTGCGGAAGAAATGCATCATCACGTAGAGTGATGTTCTTCATCTTCCTTTCTCCAAAGAAATTATACTCGTGACATTAACTCAAAAGAGACAGGTCAAATAGCTCACCAAAGTCAACCACAAAAACAACGCTAATGGAATGAGACCAGAAATTAATTGATCTAGACTTCACTCCACCCGTACCCAACCTTTACGCTGACGAACTGCCCCGGGGGGGAAGCATTTGGTCGCTCAATCAGCTTCGCGTAGTCAATTTAAATATAGTAAGTAGGAATGAGGCTTTTAAAAATGGAGCTCCATGCGAATGGCCTTAGTGGTCTGGTTGCTGTCTGGAGACAAGGAAGAGAGAGATCGAAAAGAGGCAATTACTGTTCTCAGTAATTTGTCAGCTTCCTTGCCCATGGTAACACCATGATGGAAACAGTTCACTGGGTTTGTTTTGATCCAATACTGTGTGTTGACCTTGCGGAGATTCGGGATTCAAGTTTTGCTCTCGGCCTGGGTTTGGGCCTAGGCTAATCTCTGGTGGTGCTATGGTTACCGGCGGGCGTGGAATTGGGCTTTCTGTAGGACTAACTGCTAGGTCTCTGGGTCGGGGTGCCTTGGTATATGTGCAGACTCTCTTGCCCACAGACTTCAAACAGCGATTACAAGGGAACTTTTAGTCACATTTCAACTTCCGACCTCGACACTGATCGCATACAACGGGGGTCGTCGCGGGTAAAGGGGGGCAACTTCGTCCGCCGCCATCATGTTAATTTTGCGTGTTCCTTAGTGATACATGTCGATTGCAAAACCCATATCTTTACAACACATAGTAGCACCAAGGAGAAGCTCATATCTCGACCATATCGATGAATTTTCGGGTTTTGCTTGGCGGAAAATATTGGCCCAATCAAGGCTTGGCCAATCGCAGTTAGCCCATATGATTCCATATTCCCCTTCAGTTGATCGGAGACTCGGGCTCGGGACTCAGCAATTTATCTCCACGTGTCCATCTAGCCTGTCTCGACTTACAAGATGGTTCCATAACATGGGTTAGGATACCTTCACGCGAATTTCAAGAGCAATTACGCAAAGAAAATTTCGACATAGATCGTCAAATCACAACTATTGGTTCTATGTCTAAACTTCTTCCGTGCCTCTCTTCGCTGAATTTTCGCCCCTCATAGAATCCTGCTGGATCCGCTGTATTCGGCAATCCCATGTTGGAGGCAACGGGTGTTAGCTGGGGGGTCAGCGTCTTCGGCTTCATCTCTGCTGTGATGATGCCTATTCCACTTCTCTTCCACATTTACGGTGCCCGAGTAAGACAAATGTAACATGGGTTCCGGACTTTTCAATTCAAAATACTAAGCAAATTATCACCAATAGCATACCTGGGATATAGCGTGCTATATCCTGTTGCTTAGGCCTTGTTCAATGTATCTTCTGAGTTTCGTCTTAAACCTTTACTACTTATACTATATAACCCTGATCTCTACGGCTTGATTTGATTATCTGTTGCTTAATGGATTGAGTTGAAGTGAGTCTGGATTTGAGAGCCAAAGGCTAAGGCATAGTCTTTTGCTAAACATGTAATTGCAGCTTTACCATTTCTCGTTTCTTGATAACATATATAACCTGTAGAAGACCTAGCTTCTATGATATATATACTAAAATAGGCCCATTCCTTCAGCTTCCTTCCAAACCTCTTCAATCAGTGCAGTGTCAAGGTAATCTCTAACTGCAATCACTTTGCCCTCATCATTCCACTGGATTACTAAAGCATAACGGTTCATATACTCTTTGCCTAGTAAGAGTTAGTTGTGTGTCACGGGGCCCCGCTATTTCTAAGTGAAGTCAAAGAGAGAGATCTCACCCGATTTTCGAACACCACGAGCTTCAAGTTCCATTGTGGTCCACTCGTAATTCTCGCCTCCAAAAAAAACATGCACTATCTTCAATTCCAGTGGGCCCTGAAGGGCTTTTATTAACTTTTCAATGGTGTTGGCTCGTAGATCGGCCAGGTTGGTGTAATGTCCAGTGCCTGGACCATTGCCCATGATAGTCCAATTGACATCCTCTGCTACGCGGGTCCAAAAAGGTCCGCCGTTCGCAAGCGGTTGATTAGCGAAGATAGCTTCAAGTTCCTCTTTCTTCAGATAAGGCATGGTGATGGTTAAGCGATAGGAAAGAGAGGATTCTGCTCTAATGATCGAGATGATCTGGTTTTCACAATTGGACATGGTTGTTGCATCTTTTATATATTGGCAGCTACAAGCCTGTTGACTTCCCTGCATTGGAGGGTCTAACATGCGTGTCAATGCAATACTAAGCCTATTCAGGACGAATAAGCGAACTTCAAGATTCAGCCGACCGCCAAGGGAAAGGTGGTGCCGCATGGGTGAACTACAGGACAACGCAAGCCTGCTCCTGCATTCGATTAGCTTCATAATCACCTACCAATCCAATCACAATATTGTTTTCAAGCAGGGGTTTATTGCCCATTGAGTGGGAACTACCTATGAGAAATGAGCTCGTTCCCAAACCGCCTTTGCTATGTGTTCGTCGGCATATGTGATCGGCCACGCAATCTTCTGAAGGGTAGCCCTAGCATCAGCCCACTGTCTAATATGACCAGCCTGACTACACCGTCGGATCCCTTGGTCGAAAAATTCCAACATATCTGAATCGAGGGTATGGAATTCTGGGCCCATGGAGGCGGATCGCCGGAATCTGATCTCCCCACTAATTGCGCCGAGGAATATTTGCCAAAATAGTAGAGATCCATCCGCTGCCATACAATCCTTCGCCTTCGCAAAGTGACGGACCAGAGCATCCCTCAAGATGTGAAAAACATAATCATCCAGCGTCTTCTCTGAGCAACTTCCAAGCCCAAGTACGTAGTGTAGATATAAGCTGGTGGCGCTGTACAAGCCACACCAGGTTGACTTCAGTACTTTTACTGCCTCTGTTATTATTTGTCTCCGCACTTTCAGTATGCCGTTGCAAGATGAGATGGATGCAACATGTGAAGCAACGTATTGAACGTGTAGCTTTGAAGCAACCCCATTTGCACATGCCGCAGCAAACTCGTTTTCTGATTCAGAGAAGCTTTGCTTCGATCGGATCATGTCGAGACTATTTGTTAGATCTCGCAGATCACGAACCGTATCCGTGCAATCAATCCAAGGCGAGATAGTGCCTGTCTCTAGGGATCGTGAAAGCAATGGCATTAAGCATAAGGCATCAAGTTTGAGCGGGAGATCACAATTCTTCTCCACAAAGTCTAACCGACTTGCCAAGGCTAGAAGCCTCTCGGAATGTATGGCGTGATACATTTGTGAAAACTCGTCGTAACACATGCTGATGGTAAGTCTATTCATGTTTCGAGTAAAAAGAGAGTGCAATCTATTTAAGCATAAGTACATGCATCGTTACCATGTGTGTTGATCTGTACATCTAGGGCAGATAAGCACGGTGAGAGATTGCGGCGAAGACTTACAATAAATAGTAGCGGTTATTGAGCTCTTCCTCTTCTGAAATCTCATATTGAGGCTCATCTTGTTCCGGTGATCGCTGCCAGTGTCGTTTCCGTTCTTTCAAAAGGCTCAGCATACCCCCTAGGTGGGCCTTTGCGCTAAAGACGTGACCTAGACACAGCTGTAAGGATTAGTGGGAAGCTTGTACTCATATGTTTGTCATTGCCTGATTCCACCGTAGACTTTCCTCCATTCTAGCTCTCCGGGCTTACCTCGATAAAGCAGAGTGATGCTATCTGGTTGATGATGCAGGCCATGTGTTCAGCAGGTTGTCCTTTCGTGATCCACTTGTTGACCATTTGGATCAGTTTTGCTTTGTGGAATAAGAAGGTGGATTCGAAAGATTGCATATGACCAGTTGTCCACTCAAAATGCAGCGCAGCAATCAAAAGGGTTAGGCGGAGCGCATGAGGATCGTCCATCATGGACTTGAAGCTTTCCCGATGTTAGAAATAGATTAGGCAAGAGACCTGGAGGACAGAAACAAGCTCGCACCCGGATGTTTTGTGATTTTGTGATATAGAGTTCATACTGTGGTCGATATGGCAAACTTTCGAGTTAAATAGATTAGTTTCTAAGATACTTCCCCAGTCGGATAACTTGTCTGAAGTCCACCTGAATATTTGTGCCACTCACAATAATGAAAAAGCTCCTTGGATTGGAATGGCATTTCTATACTGAGATATTGGAAGGGATCCGATGCTCCATGCATGATAACACTTATCGACCCTTGAAGAAATGCTGCTTCTGAGGGTTTGGCTGCATGTGTGATCGTCATGAACATCAACTGTTCCCATGGTTGGCATGCCTTGTCCGCGGCCCTCCTGTCACGCAGAGGGATCGTGGGAGTATACTTGCAAACCCTCTGTACCCTTGAACGTGAACAATTTCCACTATTCATATCAGCTTAGTTAGCTTTCTATTTGATGGGACTCGGCAGAACACATGTTAATGCAGGGGATGGGCCGTGAGTGAATAGCCTTACCATGCTGGCTGTACCTCGTCGCATCGTACGTGGCGTTCCCGACACTCTAGACATCCTGTTCGGCGACGAGGGACATGTGTCTTTCCCACAGTCGCTTTACCCATCTGCTATTAGTCGAGAACAGGGACAGCAAACAGTGAAGATAGGAACAAGTGAGATAGCAACTGCATCTGACGACAATGGTGTTATAGTGAATGCTCGGATAACAGTTCCCCATGACGCTATGCCTATTCAAGACGAATACCCGAACATGAATGAATAACTGCAACCACACAAGTGGTGGACAGTAAAACAGGGACTAAAAAGTAACCTAATCAGCACACAAAATTGTCCCTGTTTTACTGTCCCCCGCTTGCCACTGTAGCACATCGTGTGGGCAACGGTGGTAATCATGAATTACCACGCTGGAGCCAGCTCTGACCATGGGACTGAGATCCACTGAAACAGATCAGTCCTAAGAGTCGGGCTAATTGCCACCGTCGTTTTTTTTTTTTTTAGTTATGTAGGATGTCCGCAGTTGTCCCCGCGTTGGAGCAGTTAGCCGCTACCACCAGAATACGCGGCGTAACGCCATGGAATTGAATCAACCGCATGAAACTAGATTGATAGTCATGGCGACCGTTGTAATCTGGGTTTCCTCACTAACTATGCTGATTTGATTGCTTAACGACGGAAGGAGTAATCTAAGAACATGGGCACCTCGAATTTTCTTTACTTTAATAGTATAATGCTACAATTCATAGTTGGTCCTCAACACAATTGAGATTTACCACAAGCAACTGGTTCTGGTTTAAATAGCAGCGACGAACAGATTGATATCTGGCGCATACCACATACAAGCATACAGAGCGGTATCTACCCAAGGTTGGCGTGAGATTATTAGAAACCCACTCACTATAGTGTGTTCGTTTTTGCGATTAATCACGCATTGACACCATAAGTTTGTTGAGGTATGTAGACTCACCTAGGATACGAGCTTGCCAGCATCTGTACAGTTTCTGCTCTTATGCTCCTCCCGACGTATAGACATAACCCTGTTAACGGACTTTGTGCGAGACGGTGCCGAGAATTGCTCAATCGGCCGTTGGGGTATGTGCCGGGCCGGGCTAAAATCTGGCACCCTGCTCAAGACGGCCGAGCGAGTGTTAATAAGTGACTTCCCCAACCTTGTTTCCGATCCAGCGCGGTCAGTCAATCCGGTATTAAGGGTGGTTCCAGCGATTGGTTCATTTCCCTCTTCGGGGCTAGAAGGAAGCTCGGAGAATTAAAGTTTCTGATCCGAGTCTAGCCACAAGTTCGGAATGCATTTGTTTCGTGATTGCGCGGTGGCTTCTCACTTAACTCCGCGAAGTTGAAGTCTCTGTAAGACGATGCGTACCTTTCGGGCGTCACCAGGCGACAAGATTATTCAATGGTTGTTAGCACTTCTGGGAGAAATACTTAAGTCCCGCCGCAACAACGCCGTTTTCAATCTAAGGAGCCATCATGGACTGATCCTGACTTCGACTCTGATTGTCGAATTTGTGACGACACTACGCTAGCCGTTAACTCACAAGTTCTTTCCTCAACCACCATGGCGTCAAACCCTCCAGGTCGCTGTTGTATCGTTGGCGCTCGCCATGAGTAAGTCTTGCCAGCCATGACTGTGATTTTTGCGCCTCTATCTCTTATTGCGAGAGGCAAAGGGGAAAGGTTCATAGGGAGTCAATCTACTTTTGTTATCATAGTACTGATATACATCGAAGAGGCGAACCAACTGGAGAATTGATCAACATTGAACCAAACATTCAAGCATATCTAGCAACCCCGCCTGTGGGAAAATCCCACGAGAAGGTGGCTGTGTTGTTTTTGCCTGATGTCTTTGGGATCTGGCAAAACAGCAAGCTTGTCGCGGATTCTTTTGCCGCGAATGGATATACTTGTCTGCTCCTCGACACATTCGACGGCGATGCAGTGCCATTGGACAAAGGTCATTCTGGAACTTTCGACTTCCATAGCTGGCTCCAGAATGGATCTGATGGTCAGCATCCCCACGTCCCTGCAGCAGTTGATCCCATAGTCCTAGCCGGCATCAAAAATCTGAGAGAAATGGGGTTCAAAAAGCTTGGCGCTGTCGGCTACTGCTTTGGTGCTAAGGTAAGCTGCTGCTGCTGCTACTTCTGCTGCTAATGCAGATCGACTTGATTTTCAATTAACAAGAGTCTCAGTACGTCATTCGCAATTTGAAGGAAGGTGGAATTGATTGCGGTTATATCGCTCACCCATCCTCTGTCGAGGAGGATGAGCTTGCTGCTATATCCGGGCCGCTTTCCATTGCAGCTGCGGAGATCGACCGTGTCTTTCCCATGGAAAAACGACACAAGTCGGAGGAGATCTTAATCAAGACAAAGCAGCCTTATCAGATCAACTTATTTTCTAGCGTTACGCACGGCTTTGCTGTTCGAGGCGACCTTAGCGTCCAGATTCAGCGATTTGCCAAAGAACAGGCTTTTTTGCAAGCCATATCTTGGTTCGACGAGTACCTGAAGATTTGATGGTGATGAAAAACGCGGAGGGTACACACGGTTGGTGTCTACAACAACCTTGATGTTCATTTGGGTTACCTGATTTGTCTCGCTTATATGCTCCCCCCCTTTTTTTCCATACGTGCGGACTGTCACGACCTAACAATGAATCAACTATTCGATCGACAACATGATCGATGAAATACCTATCAATCCACGAATGGATCAATGGAATTCGTATCGACCCATCTCAGACCACCCGGATATATAAGTTCGCTTCTCCACACTCATTTAAAATACTTACATAGCCTGTTGTTAATACTAAATCCAACGCTTGATTGAATCTACTGGATGATCTCTACCAGTTGCGTGACTAGTTGTTTACCACCTATTTCTTGGTGCCCATAAGTCCTGTTAGCTAACATAAACTGAAGATACTGTTTGTCCTTTGGGGATCCCTCCTATTACTAATAGTAGGCAGACAGAGTCACAGACGCGGATCAGTCTCCTACACCAGAGAAAGCTTGCCAATCACATGTCGAAGTTTCACTCCGCGTAATCTAAAGAAAAAGCGTTTTTCTTGTTCATTCACTTTCTTATGGCTACAGAAATTGCCAAATACATCGTCACACATACACTTGACATATACACTTACACAAGATGCAATCTAATCCTCGCGTTATCCAGATGCGTGAGATGGTTCCGATGCTCTATTCAATCCATTCGCTTTCTTTTTTCATGTCGACAGAGTTATCTATGGTATCTCTAGCCCGCGTGCCTCCTTTAAGACAGATCTTTGTAGCCAGGTGATATCTTCAGAAGCCAAAGGGTGAATATTTGAATACATTTATGTCAATGAAAATGATCGTTACACTCCATCGGAGGAGTGACTTCAATGGTTCAAACGCAAGGGTTTTGGAGTTCGGGGCTAGCGGCGTTTGTTACGTTGTCACCCATTCGTAGGATAGGATGAATCGAGGAGGAATGCATTTAGTGAACTAGAAATATGGAAAAAAAGAAAAGCTCGAGGCGATGAGGCAAATTGAAAATTTTCCCTCCCGCTGGCTCCTCTTTGGTTTCTGATCGATGGTCGATTGAACCGTCTCAATTGCCGAACGGATGGTGCAGGCGTATTCGATCAAACTGAATCTGTCTGGTCCAAAATGAATGCCAACAACGACGTAATATTGATCCTTCTCTGTCTAGAAGAATGCTAATTTTGCGGCTTTCCTCAATGTCCAGATACAACAGCTTTGATGAGAAGAGTTTATTGAATTACCTATTTTGATCTATTAGATCGCCCCTTCATTCTGGCTGATGATAGCAGTCAGACACATAAATCGTGTCATTGTAAAGTGAGCTTCTCAAAAGTACTACTGACGAGACGTGGATTAAATTGCATATGTGTAGAAGCTGTGCATAAAATTGTCTGTAGTTGGCTGAAACGGATCCCTTGTGAGCTCAGACACATCTGAGAGACAAATGGTAACACCGACGCGATATGCCGCGGATTTAGAAAAGCAGCGGGTGGTAAATCCGTGTAGCCGTCATCGCTTTCTGGTTCAGACTTTCGAAATTTGCAAAGAGCATTCTGCATAAGGCAGCCACTGTCAAACATTTCCTGTGACACAGCTTTGGTTTACGCAGCTGTCGTAGGAAGCAGGCCCTTACCATAGGCTTGCAGGGCAGCTGGCACTGCGGGACTAAAGACGCATGTGACTGCGAGAAGGTAGAGGAGATTTTAGGAGAGGTATAGCTTTGGAGTGTATAAGAAAAAGACCGAATAAATGGTTAGCTCAGTGTGTATGGAGTTAATCAGACGCGAAAGCCGCTAACTGCGCCTGAAACTGAACATCACGTTTTCACTTGAGAATTTTTTTTTAAGTTAATTAGAGTTATGAACAGAAAATAAATGAATAAAGAGTAATTTAATCGAGGGTAATAATAGGGACTGTTTATGAACAGATAGAGGTTAAAAATTTGTACCATACGTAATATAGAGGGCCCTGAAGGCCGACCCCGATTTACTCAGTAACGCCTGGGCACTATCACATTCTACTATTCTTCCCTCTCGCAAAACCGCAATACGGTCAAACCAATCAATATGCGAATATCGGTGAACGATAGATATGACTGTTCTATCCTTGAAATCAGCCTCAACAATGTGCTGCATGAGAGCTTCTGTCTTCTCGTCAACGCTAAATTCCACATAATTGTTAACAAATTTGCGAAATGCAGAGATAGCGGGACCTCGAATGGACCATACCTGCTCATTGCCAGGGATTAGCAAGGCTCTCGTCAGACAAAAGAGCTGCTGCTCTCCATAAGACCATTGGGATGACTTGAATCCTTGATGAAGGCTTCCTTTCGAGCCTGTCGCCAGCTTGTCCCAATGCCAGACGATCCACACACTGCTATTTTTTCGCCGGCAGCAATATCGAGATTGACATCTTTCAATACGTCTTCGGATCTTGGCCTAACAATGTTGTATCAGATGATGTGCTCCCTTCTTGAACTGTGACGGTTGGTCTAAAGTCTAGGTTATGAGATAGGTACTTACGTGTGTGCCGCCGTAAGGCGCTGTACTTGCACCCTGCCGTTTTGAGGCCATGAATTCGAAGGCGCTGGAAACCTACCCAAGTCCGATGGAGCCTCCTTCACAAACTGCTGTACTCTTGCCACCACTCCAATGGAAGTCTCTGGCTTTGTCCAAGACTGGATTGTTTGGATTGGCAGGCCGTTGAATTGAAGTGTCATGACTAATGCAACTCCCAGAGCACCAGGTCCGAGACCGTTGGCGGTCAGAGACAGGGCAATCGCGACAAAGGTAACCGCTAAAGCCACTGCTACGAGATCTACTACCAGCGTTAGCCATTGTTGCGCACAGAAAAGCATATAAAACGGCCGTTGGGAGCGGTTCAATATGCCTGCCAGGCGACCACTGAAGGGCATCTGCCAACTAAACGTTCGAATAGTTGCAATGCCGCTGATGGTGTCTGTGAAATGAGAATATAGCGGGGCTTTCGCCTCGATTTCTAACATTCGAAACTGTCTGGACGTTCACAAGTAGTAACGCTGAACGAGAAACAGAACTCCACCAAGGACGGGAACTACAGCTGCAAGGTATTTCCCCAAAACGGACAAGACAACGAACTGAACCAAACACCAAGAAAACTCTGAAATTAAGTACACCATTAGTGAGTGGCCGTACTGAACAGACTAGAAATATGGAATCGTTCATACCGGAAGTGAATTGAAGAGCTTGGGAGGGTAAGGTCATATCGATCAGGTTCATATCTTGGCTAAATCTATAGTGGCTAGTCTTTAGTCCGAGTTCATGCGTTTTCGAGTTTGCAAATTGTACCTATTTGTTATGGATTCAAGGTCTGACTCGAGGAAGAAGTAAAACGGTGCACTACATAGTAGTTCACAGCAATGTTAGCGGATGAATTACATAGGACTGTGGTTGCGTGGTTGCTATTGTACCTGACAACGGCGTGCAGCAGATCTGGATGAAGTTTGATCGCAGTGTCCCTGACAATATAGAGGAAAAGGGCCCCGGGACGCAGAAGGTTAGAAAACATGCGCAATGGTAAACAATAAAGCCATATTATTATGTTAGGTATGACTGACCAGCATTCAAAAAGACTCCTATTATAGCAAGAGCCACCAATAGGAAGTAGATGCCGAGGTAAAGCCCGAGCTGTTGGTTGCCTTGTTCTGCAGTCGCTGAAGTCCATCGGTCTACCCACAATGCTGTTGTTTATTGGCGTTTGGACCATCGTTGAAGCACACTAACGGTATGGGATTACTGGAAGAGGAGTCGGAGATGGCCCCAATAAGAGTAGAGATTGCCCATGAGAATAAAAAGAGCTTGCCTACTTTTTCCCCATAGTACGAGTAAACGCTCCAGCTCCCTTTTTGTCTGCTGAATCCAGCTCCATTAGAGCTGCTGATCTGGCCCCGTTGCTCTGGTGCGGTAGAGTTGGAGCCCTGTGATTCTACTCTAGGGCCAGCTGAGCCCTCTTCCTTCACCCGGTCATAATTAAAATCGGGTTTATGGTCGTCTAATTTGAACATATCAGGGTTCCGTGCCTTGATACGTTTGTAAGATCCAGTATCCGAAATGGATCCTTTGTGAAGAAGAACTACATTGTCCATGTAAGGAAATAGATTCGCTGCATGATTGTCAGTATAATGTATTGCATTGCATAGGAGCGAATCAATACATCGGGGAGCTCACAACCGTTGGCGGCGAGGACCACCGAGATGCCCGCTTTGCGAAAGTGCCCATTGGCGTGGCATAGGCTGGTCTGTACCGTCTTGGCTGCTTTTGGGTCTAAGCCACTAATGAAATCATCCAAGATAACAGTCGGTAGTTTTGAATAAACGGCCCGAGCGAGCGCCTAGGAAAACTGAGTTAGGTACAGGATATTTAAGGTTAGACGCCCGGCATACCACTCGCTGGCGTTGGCCTCCGCTGAGAGACGACCCGTTCTCGCCTACAACGGTCATGATTCCGCCAGGTAAGTTTTCCAGTTCTTCACGACGCGTGCAACATCGAATAACGTAGCTGAACCACGTTTGATCGAATTCCAGCTCGCCAATGATGTTGCTTTTGATGGTATCATTTGTCAACCACGGCTTTTGAGAGCAAAATGCCACCCGGGAGGTGATATGACACTGCATTTCTCCGGACACTACGGTCGTTTCTCCAATGATACTAGCTAGAAGCGAGGGTTTCCGATCCTACTGGCCCAACAATGGCTGTGAAGCCAGTAGGAATGCTGAAATTGAGGTTGCGCAGAACTACTCTTCCTTGATGATTCTTTGGGAACCAAGAGATGTTTGCAGATCGGAATGTGACCAGTTGTGGAGAGCTGGAGTGTCGAGCACGAAAACCCAAGGACATAGCAGATGTATCTTCCTCAAGAGGGCTGCGGGATTCCAAGTGCCAGGAAGGCGAGTTGATCATTTTTTTAATGCGTGAGTAGCAGGATACGGCCTGTGTGAGAGATAGCAAAGCCTGGCAGAACATGAGCAGCGGCTCTGTCACCAGGTTGATGAGAGCAAGGGATGTGAAGGCCTGGGTGACTAGAAGCGATTGGTCGCCGCTGGTAAGGGCAATAAGAGCATAGATGGCCAGTGTAAGGAAAGGCGCCAACAGTCTAGGAACATTTCCTGTAGTCCACAGAGGTTAGTCCTCGAGCCGCGGTTATTTGAGCCTCGCTGGGTTAACTGACCGATAATGATGGCCTAGACACGCAGGGTCCGAAATTTTACTGATACGTCATTTTCGATAGTTCGCAACTTCTCAATTGCTCGACTCCAGTGATTCATGAGGCCAAGCTTTTTGGCTGATTTTAAATTGCTCAGCATGCTGGACGTTGCGCCTATCCTCTTCTCAACACAGTCCACCCATCGTTTTTGGGTTGGTCCAAAGTGCTTGGCAATGAGCGAGGTTCCAGCTAGGCTTACTGACGTGAGGTCAGTACATACTGTTGTAGAAATGTTTACGCTAATAAGTAGCCAACAGTATTTACTTACCCACGCAAATCACAATCGGTGCGATTGAGGCGTAGAGAACCTGGCGGCTCAGAAGCCAAACACCGGTTGCGACCTCCGGAATTGCTGCCCACGTTTCATGAAAGAATCTCAGTGACTCTACAATTCTCTCAACATCAGTGCCCATCAAAGTAAGTGCCGCTGAATCTTCCACATCTCGAGATTGAAGTGACACCATTTGGCGGTATATCTTTGCTGTCAGACCGGCTCGTACCTTGGTGAGCATACGATAGGTTTGACGCCAGTATACTGCCCTTGATATCTGGAAACACAAAATCGTTAGTGGCTATGTCTCTCACAGTTTGCTGTGACATAAAATAAAACTGCAAGTACAGGAAGCTGACTTACTGCAATGCCCAAATAAACCAACGCGAATGCTCCCACTAAAGCCTGCCCGAATCGCTCATGGTCGTCTTCGTTTGCTGTGCCACTCAAATGAGATACTACCACTTGAACAAGAAAGGGTTGGCAAAATGCCTCCGGCTCAATCCATGCTGCTGACTCCCTCATATCCTTGTCAATGTCAGGTAAGTCATCGACAAGGAACACATTGCTAAATCTCTTTTGAAACACAGGAAGCAGCCAAACAAAAAAAAACTGCGACTCCAAAAGCTCGTCATTTGCTCCGAGGTAAGCCCATTCATGAATGCAGGCCGCAAATACTTTGATTTCCCAAAGCTTTCAATAGTGGCAATACTGGCAGTGAGGATAAACAAAACGGTCCATATGGCCTGCTGTATCAAATAGTCGGGAGGAAATAACCAGAGTGTGCGCAGTCGCGGGATACCGAGAATGGTGGATGCTGAGTAGAATAGCACTAATACATCTGATGGTTTAATAGATCGTTGACCGACAAGAAACGAAAGAGCCAATGCCCCGACGTTGGACGAAGCAGACAGTACCCCTGTAGCAATGGCTATTCGAGTGTGTAGAACACTTGATTGGACGCGCAATGCGAGAGGAACCAGATGGAAAATGAGGATTACCAAGGCGGCTGATTTATACGTTGCAAGCCGATACGAAGAAATCACGATCGACATCCTCCATAGTATCGGACATGCTAATAATAGTCTTATGAGCCGCACAGGAACTGGGAAGCACCGCAGCGGTGGGTGATTTGGGGCTACCGGTAGGCCCAAGTGCTGGCACAGCTGCATTATATCAAGTCCTTGAAGATTTCTCTTCATTTACCACTTTCCATGCATCGTGTCCTTTGGTCTTGAATTAGAGCTGGCTATGTCAACGACTGTTATATTTGCATTTAACCTGGCCGTTGTCCATGGGCCACAAGGGCGTCGAAATACTGCGACGCAAACGACGATGGATGCTTGACAAACACCTGTACAAGTCGTTTGTCCTCAGGGAGAGGAATTTGGTCCGGACTATTGGTAATGCCGTGTTATATCTGTGGGAGACCAATCGACGATATACTGTTTGAGAGCTCAAGTTACCCACGCCATCCAGTCTACATCACAGAGCCGTTAACATCTGCGCTTGTCATGATTACGGGTCCCTTGAATCTACCTCGTCTCCATCATCGCCACCTACCGCACATGGCATTTTACCCGCCGCCGGCGCCGTTGAAATGGCCAGTAATGCTAAAGGAAAGCAGCCACAAGATATCAAATGTGGCATCCCAGCCCACAGCCCACCTAGACGGAGCCCTCAGCCAAACGCCCCCGCAAACATTGCCCCCCCCCCCCCCCTAGTGAGCATACCACTATATAGCAGGACCAAGATTGTTGTATAAAGTGCTGCGAGGTGCTTTGTCTCGACCATGCTTGTTGCTATGCCTCGCGCAGGGACGCCGAACGCCAGTCCCGTCCTAAACAATAGCTGGTCGAGGACAAGGATAGTCCAAGTCTCCAAGATCCTAAAGCTAAGATAATATTTGTCCCAAGAACTGAGAAAAGGCCGCTGATCTGGGCAATGCGCTTGTCTTTAGCGATTTCGTGCAGCTTGAGACGCCATAACAAGACAGTAGAGGGAGCAGGAATGCCAACGGCATGCACAATGAAGTTAATTCCCGCACCAAAGGACACTAGAAACGAAGCCTGATACCTCCGCGGTTGGATTAATGTGCGCCGTTCGCGGTTACTGTTGATGATATACTTTATCCACCCTGTTACCGAGGCAAGTAAGATGATATCGCATATACTTTGCGGCAGTCAATTGTTAGCAATCACCCTCCATCAAACGGCGTTACTTGTTACATCAAATTTTGCTAGCCAGACGTCCATGTTTCTAATTGCTTCAATTCCAGCACCGCCTAGTCGTTGGACGCTCTCGGTAACAGCGTCCTTTAGACCAATCAACATAGGTGTGATGCTTGGACCATAACGCTGCTCTGCCAGTTGTCGTACATTCTCGAATTCTTCAGCTTTCAGCAGCATTCGAACCTCCCTTGAGCCTTCGCGGCTCTTTTCACTAGGCGTCATGGTCCTGTGTGAGGCCGGTCTGAATCCAGCACTCTTACCTGCTTGTGTCATTTGACTTGGTGTTAATGGCAAACGTATGTTCCATTCCCCACGATCGCCCAACAACGCTTCTACAGTATTGTTGCATTGCGTGGCTAGCACATGAGGAAACACCGTGAGGATAGAGGTTGAGAAACTAAATTCAGCAATGAGAACGGATCGTGCCCATGGTTGTAGCGTCTCCACCAGCTCTTGAAGCATATGCGGCTTCTCAAAGAACCACACACAATGACCCAAGAGGGCATAAGTCGAGCCGTGACGTATCCTTTCTGAGGGATGATACATATTTTGGGGCAGTATCCTTGGTGCATGTGATCCGACTGCTAACAAGGGAAGCTGCGAGGTATTTCAGAGATTCGACAACGTATCGAAGGCTGCTGTCACAGACCTGGAACACATAATACTCAGCTTGAGAATCATTTGAATAGATACCTCGGGGTACCTATAAAAGTTGCTTAGAATACTGAAGTTGGGGGGGTTTGATACCATAAAAAGTATGAGTATATTAGAACGATTGATCAGTCTGCGATTCACCAGTTTGCTATTGGTATTATAACGGATTCTGATATTATACATCGTATACTGTGGCCCAGGTTATCGTCCTGTTTTCTTCGATAAGCATAGTAAAGAGTGTATTTTAGATAATAGCAACATTATCCAACCAGATCTTAAACGATCATACATGTAAATCACCCGAAAGGTATGTTATATTACTTTCACACGTAAAACCAGTGCATTTCACATGCTATTCATTCCTTGTCGTATCCATACGAGCTTTCGAAAATACACATACTATGACAGAAGAGACTGTAGTATGCAAGTTAAGTAGATAATAGAACAATCTCGCCATCAGGCCTTTCTTGAATGCGAAATGAATTCCACCCTGCCTGTGGGAGATTGAGATTCATATCTTGCGAGAGATATTGCATGAACGCGCTATGTGTGACTACTACAATAGTCCTTTGATTCGACAAACTTGATTGATCCGATTGTACGGACTTGGAAATATCCCATAACCTCTTACGAAAGGCCCTGGCCCTATGAATGACGGCCTCCTCGTCTGCCGCATACATGCCGATTTTGATGAACCAATCCTTACCTAACGTGGTAAAATCGACGCTTGGGAATAGCCTCTCTAATATATCGCGATCAGAGCCAGTGTCGCATGGTAAATCGCTTGTTTCTTGCAAGTCTCGATCTACTAGTAACCTAGCAGCTCCGTCTTGGTCGTCTTCACCAACGGTACTCTGGGCGAGAACAGGCGAAAATCCCTTAATAGTAGTTTGAAGAGCCCGTTTTACGGGCGAAGTCAGGACGACGGAGATTGAGCTAGATTCCGGAAATGTCTTCTCCAATTGTGATGCCTGGTCAAAACCTTTCAAGGTCAATGGTGGGTCTCGTTGCGAGAAATCCATGATTACATTATGTTCCGCTTCAGCGTGACGAACAACAACAATGAGCGGTTCCATTTTGTCGTGATCTCATTTTGTATTGGGGAATAAAGATATCATAATGGGGAAAAAATGGAAGAGGAGGAATAAACAAAGTCAACAAAAAAAAACCCTTTGATATGCGATTCGGAGGCACTAAAGGTCTTTGGAGTGTCCCTGATGTCAGATCTTGACAATTATGACGACAACGGTACAATAAACCTACCACGGCAACTTTCAAGGAGTAATTTCGGTATGCAAAGCAACTTTAAAAACAACTAGTGCAATCTCGACACAATTGTCGCGACAGGCTAAGCTAAGATCTTAGGTACCACGAATTATGGACATAATTCGGGTCATTGTCCTTCCAAACACATGGGTATGCCTTTCTTTACATTCATCATTCAGGCGCTGAACCTCGGCTTGGTCAGAGTATCATACCATGTCATATATCTACAAGGGAATGTGTTTTATGTAGAACGAAGCTTTTTTTTAAAAAAAGTATAATAATAGGAGATAAAATTATAAAATTGAAGATGAGAAGTTTGATGTGGAGTCCCTCGAGTAGTTTGAAGACTGGTAGTATTGGGAAATTCTTAGTACGCTGAGCTCTTCCTTATTACTTATGCGTTCTGGGGGCCTACTGCTTCTGCCATACTGACCTTGGAGGTTTTTTGCGAAGAAAATATCTCAGCACATAGTTATCTATTGGCTGAGGAATCTCGTGGTACTTGTGGGATTGGTTATAGTCCTGATGCTCTGCTCGGTGACAAGACTCGCGAACAGTACGAAGGATAATGCAGCATTCTTTTGATGCCTTTGAACTAAAAACAATTGCTGAGTAGTTCTATGCACCGGATTTGGAAACTCAAGCTCGCCGCGTATCAAGTGAAGAACCATAGAATTATTTCCATGCATATATGAGCACAGTTGTTCTAGTATTCCGATGTGTTAGAATACTTCAACCACTTATAGAGGAGAGGACGAAGTAGATGGATAAGTTTCTAACTAGATTCGAGTACACCTATTGTACTGGGACACCGCCACCATTCTCAGGTCGCTTCTTTCTCCAGTAGCTCTAAGTACTGTCCAACAACACTATCTACCATCGTTTCAAGTGGCCGGGGTTTAATCCCAAGCTCATTCTCTGTCTATAAGGAGGTGAGTAAGTTAATAATTTGGATGACTAGCTTGGCCTTGAACTTACTGTGCTTATGTCCCATTTAATGACGAAACTTGGACAATTTCCCGCTTTCAGTCTTCCGTCTTTGAAGGCCTCTGGATAAAGTTTCTCCGCGATGGTAACAGCATCGTTCCAAACTATTTCCTGATTAATTACGTACGCCTTGTTACCAGGCACATGAACGTCCAAGGCCGCGACATGGGCACGTGCAACGTCTTCTCCATGCGCAGCATTTCCAATCATCTCGAAGTCGAACTGTTTCCCTGTTACTAGGCTCAGAAGAACCCCATTACTTCCACTGCGGAGCATGGTCTCCTTGTCAGTCAATAGCTCGTCACGGGCCCATATCCATGGTGGGACGATGGTGATAAGGTCAAAAAGCGGTTTCTGGTCCCGAATAAAAGCTTCTGATGCAAAGAGTGCGGTCTTCTTCGCAGCAAGATAAGCCTCAACTTCTGAGCTATAAGGTGGTGGCGGAGGTGCATTTCGGTCGTTTGGAGTCCAGACTCGTTGAAGATCACGTTCCTGGCCAGAGACAACCGGAAGTGTAAGGATAGCGCCAGTGGTGCTAGTCATTACGACCCGCTTCACAGTTCCCTGAGATCTTGTTGCCGCAGCCTCGAGGATCTCAATGGCGCCTCTCTCACATGCCGAAACGAATTGCTTTTCCAGAACAGCGGAGGTTTGTTCACCTTCTCCCCAGCTGGGAATCGGCGCAGCGAGGTGGATCACGTACTTGACCCCCTGAATAGCGTCGTCAAAAGCGCCAGGAGTGCTCATGTCTGGCACAGACACAAATGAGAGCTGTTCTGGAGTTAGAGAGAGGCTCTTTAGGGTTGGTGCAGAGAGAATTCCTTCCGCCTTGGTCATAGAACGGACCGCAGCACGAACGCGATATCCGTGCTTGAGCAAATCGATGATGGTAAGGTAGCCCAAGAAGCCTGTGGCTCCAGTCATGAGGACCAAATCTCCAGCCATGTTAATGATGATGGAATACAATGAACTGGATAGAAACGATTCATCTGTGCTATTGGCGGAAAGGGTTTAAAGGTCCTCGGTCGAGCATTTATTCCTCGATTGCTCAACGCGTCATTCAGCAACTCTCTTTACTCCGTCGATTTTACTTTACATTCTTTCATTTCCAAGCAAATTTCCCCACTCGTGATTTTTCATTTATCAACGCCATAATACCCTAGGTATAAACTCATTAGGTACTCGTTATAGACTAGGTAGTCTTCAAACCGGCAACTGTCGCAGTGCACAGGTCGAGAATTGGCCCCACATCTCGGTTGCTGAGAGGCAAGTTGAAGAGACTCCGTAAATCCGAATCTAGAAGGAGGACTTACGCTAGGAAATTTGGTTATTAACACGGCCCGATCTCATAGAGATAGTTATTCATGGGTCCTTTGCCGTATCCGTTTCGGAGCCTTTCCTTGTCCGGTGAATTTGCGACCGATTAACTGAATAAAAATGATGCCTTTCGTGCCAAGGTTACTTTGCCTCAACTACCGTCATGATAATCGGAATAGTTAATAATGCGGTTCGCGGTGTTCTTCCGCTGTGTCTGTCGCGAGTAATTTCCCCCGTCGCTCCCCCATCGCTCCCCCGTCTCCACACACGATCTCACTCTAAGCAATGATGCTAGAAGGTATGAAGACTGGAACGGCATTGTATCTCCAAACCAGCTGAATGTAAATAAGCCTCCCTGGTATATTAGTATACCTTGCATTCGGACCACTTGATTAACGAGCCGTGTGGAAGGTTGCGACTCAACAAACGGATGTTGGTGTTACAACAAGTTATCATTTGTTCCCGAGTCTTACACTCTGCCTCATTCGTTTAAGCAAGACGCTCAATCATAGATTCTATTTGTTTCTCGTTCATTATAAAAAGCTACCTATTCATGCTCATCTCCGTTAGGAATGATCTTACGGCGTGATCAATGAAAGAAAGATGCCATCTTGGTCCTTCCCCAAGAGATATTGCGCCTATTTTCAATTTCTCAATCAAGATTCTCGCCTCCAATATTTTTTCATGCTCATTTGCAAAGCCTGGGACAATGTGTGGCGTGAACTGGTGCAAATTATTCAGGTGTGTAGAAAGCGAGGCTGTATGTGGCCGCGTTCGGATCGATGAATGCGACGACATTCGAACAGAATGGGAATTGATTATCAATCCCCATTCATCCTGTAGATATCGCTCCACCTCCCAAGTGCTCAGGTATTCGACCCCTGGGGTGCCCATAGATGCGATTTCCTTTGCTATTGCACTTTTCACGTGTGTCCGATCTGGTAAACTTCCCTCTGGCTCGGCCAGAGCTCTACTCTTTACCTTGGGACTCTGGCTTGTTCCGTGAAGCAACATGTTCATGACCTCGGTGACAACATCTAAGACCTGAGAGAAAGTGGCATAGCGTCTTTTGTACCGAAGAACGCTGTTTAAGATGTCTATGGGAATCTCTCCCCGAAGGGCTTTCCCAACCATAGCCATAGTCTCAAAGTAGAGGAACGAAGAAAAGCTATCACGGCCGGCGAGGATGTATGGTATAGCGCTCGTCACGTCTGTTGAAAGGTCTTTGGGAATACCCCAAAGGTGGTTGTGACGTATATCGGGTAGCTCAGGTTCGATAGTGGTCGAAGTGATAGAAGTGTTGGGATCCAAGGAGAGCTGATGTCCTAGTTCCGGTAACGTTGCAGATGGATTTGTATTGGATACCTGCTGTAGTGAGGTTAAAATATCCATCATTCCACTTGAACTTGGTAGGATAGACATAGGACTAGACGCGACTCGGGATAGTTGAAGAGTGTTGTAGCTAATATCGACTCCTTGTTGACGATCCATGTGAGCTTCGTCTTTATCCTCTACCAGATTATTCGCTCTTTGAGCCAACCCTAGAAATTTCTCCGTGGTATGTTTAAGCAGCGCAGGGTTAACATCCGTTGATCCGAAAAAAGTATTATCAATAAATGCCACGAAAGAAGCGTTCATCTCTTCAATTATATTTGCAAGGCCAGTAACTCTTTCTTCGAGCGCTTTAACATGCTGCTGTCTCCGCTCCCGAAGTGCCTTTTGGGCTCTCCGTCCCCGAGCCCTTCGCGCCTAGAGGAATTAAATCAGTATACCTGGGGTTAGTCGCTGCTCTTGATACACTTACATCGTGCGCCGAATGGGCGACTTCTTTTCGTGGTCGGCCTCGCGGGCGATATTTAATCGGTTGCTCGCTATTCATGGCTGTCAAGGGTGGTAAAGGAGACGCCTAGAAGTTCACTAGTTGACATGAGAGTCCTTCTCTCAATATAAAGTTTTATTACTCCGTCAAGTCCGCATAGGAACTATACTATTAGTCAGCTTCCGCCTTGTTCAAGCTGATTTCTCAGCTCTTCTTTTCCTTGTTCCGCGACAGGTTCCGCTTCCACTATTTAGCTGCTGTGTTATTAAGGAAGTGAGTTATTCAGCAAAATCCAACTAAAATTGATGGTGAAGTTATTCATATACAATAGATAGCTGAACAGAAAGGTTTCTCCAAGAATAACCAATTACTTGCAGAGGGACGGGAACAAGGGAGTTGCTACCCCGCGCCTCTTGATTAGCAGCGAGTGCGCGATTTTACTGTGTTCTATCGAATGCAGAGCTTTTGTACGCCGTAGCTTGCTTCCTATGTTCTGATTGGCCATCCACGGTTCCTAATGCTTGTTGCAATCATTGTTGAATTACAAGCCTCCATAGGTTTCTGGACTTTAGCCTTTTAGTTTCAATACTTATAAACGTTGGGCTGCGATGCTAGAATCACTGTCCAATTTACTTACATTTCACCTCCACGGCGGTGGATTCTCAGTTGCAAGCATTTACTGTGCTCTTCCTCTGTGCATGCGACATACCTTGGCGTACCCTACTGTCTGCGGCCACAAATATTACTAAAAACTACTCTCTGGTCTCACTATGTGTGATAACGGAGATCTCAACAATAACCATACCGGAAAGGGGCTCCTCGTCATTCATGTCGCCCTCTTCCGCATGGCAACACGGTCACTGGCAGAAGCATATAGAATCCTAGGCTACAAGACTCACCACGGGGTAGAGGATATTCTAGGAAATCCGTGGGACGAAATAGAACAGGCTGCAGAAGCGACATGGCCAACTGTGCCTAATGCGCGCCCTAGGTCACGATTCACGCGAAGTGACTGGGATAATCTTTGGGGTAACAAGTACGACATAGTCACCGATTTAGCCTGCCCGTTCACCGATCAGCTTATCCAGGCTTACCCGGATGCAAAAGTTGTCATTGTTCAGCGAGACTTTGATAGTTGGTGGAACAGTTACCAAGCAGGTGTATTGGACAAGTTGTTCTCCCCAGGGCAGCAGATTTTCGTTTTCCTCATCAGGACTGTGATCGGATCGCGAGCCGCCGAGGCCATGCTCAAGGTGAATTACGGATTCTTTAAGGCTACAAGTATATCTGAAATCCGAGAGCATGCCCGCGAAGTCTATGACGAATATTACCGGCAGACGAGGGCAACAATACCAGAAGCGAAGCGATTGGAGTACACCATGGGAGATGGATGGGAACCTCTGTGCGCGTTCTTGGGCAAAAATGTCCCAGATATCCCGTTCCCACGCTTAAATGATAGCAAATCGCGCAGCGAGAGCCAAAGAAAGGGTGAGATTATAGTGCTGTTAAACTCGGCTAAAATAGTCACGTTATTGGGTCTTGGTGTTGTCATCATTGCGGCATCCCTACGGTACTTTGCGTAGGCATAGATACAATGCTATTCAATTGGTTTTATAACTTGTCATTAGACTATGGCTTACACAATTATATATATTAAAAATTATTACAAGACATGTTTCAGGTGTCGGTCCTTGACATCTCGGGATTGAGTTCAGTCCCATCGCTGTCTGTAGTAGGAATTCGAAAATGGCCATTACATATAAATAGACACGTGTATTAAAAGAGGTAGTTTTTCTTTTGGAACTTGAGATGTATTTATCGATTGGCAGAGTCATGCTCACTATAGCATCGTGCCTGACGCTGTGGATAACATGTATCTTCCGGAGGCTTATAGCCACTGAGAATAAAGTTTCATTAGGGGATTGTGCTGACATCGTGATCAATTTGTAAGTAGGATTAGTGACCAAGCTGAATCTGTCTGACTGGTATAAACGAGGAATATTTTTCTATGCATGTATAGAAAATGGCGAGACAGGATGTTGTGATTACGCTCTGTATCTATATTTTCCAACGGTCTGTTTGCGCACGAATTTCATATCCATTGGCCATGATCATTTTAGAAAGTATGAAGGCAGCTAGCCAATCTTCTTGAACCAATTGATACTTCAGCATTACTCATTCGCGGCCCGCACACAGGGCTTGAGCCTATATTAGCACCTATAGCTTATAAACGAGGCAATACTTACCATGATTCGCGTTAGGGCCGCAGCCTTGGGAACTGATGACACAAGGAATAGCATCATTTTCAATATCATCAATGTGTGGGCAGGCACAATCGACGTCTGTCGATCCACAACTAGAAAATTTTAACGACTGACTGTTCGATGAAATCAACTTCACAAGGCGGAATATCGCCCAATCGGCCAAAAGCTGTAGATGTGAGAATGATGAAAGTAAACAGGAATTCCATTTTGACACATTAATATAGATGTGAAACAATCATTGCTACTGTAATGTGGAACGATTGTCAACTTGTAGTTACTTGGAGCCGAAGTATGTTGATAAGAATGTAAAAGGATTTATCTAGCTTTATATGTTGAAGCAATGTTGCCTCCACCCCGGCTACCTGGAGTAATTCTAGCTTTCCACAATCAGGGTCTATCTCCAGGGTAAAATCGTCATCTCAGGGTAGTTATCTCGCCGATAACATGCATCTGTGGGATGTTAACTGTGCCTAAGAGTGCCAGGCCCTGATCATTGAAACAGCTTGATCCATGCAACTCCACCATTCAATAAGATCGAACATTTGCGGTCAGTGAACATGGGGGGTGAAACTACAAACGAATGGATTATTGGTCAAAAGTTGCAAGAATCCCATAAGCAGATGTGGTGGTAGAATAAAATGATTCATCTTTCATCTTCTTTAACGGGCGAGAGAATGAAATATATCTCAAATTAGTATCAATGACTCCTTGTGACTCAACAGACTAGAGCATATGTAAGAAAGGTTTGAAAACTGGCCAGCGCCACGCAATTACCGACATTTCCAGTGGCCAGCAAATGCGGTATGTATTATACCGAGGGTATACCGAGGGTATTATGATAGTCGAGATATGTCAACAATAATTTGGTAAAAATTTCCAGAGTGGTGGTGGCACAGTGTCTTGTGTCGGTGAATACTCGTGGTTGTACTATCGTTACCGTCCAAGCTTATCTTAGATCCCGACTCACATAGGAAAAGTTCACAACAATTTTTGTCATTACATCGATGCAGGTTGACGTCCAGCTGCTTTGACAACGAAGCCCTGTAGAAGCGGTCAACGAGTTACCGCAGGATGCAATCAGAGAGATCTAGGGTGCGCGGCGTGCTAAATAGATCGCATAGATGCCAGCGAGAAGCAGGGATAGAGGCTGGAGTGAACCCTAGCAGAGGAAGAACATATTTGCCATCAAAAGGAGAGGTCAAGTTGTATCTTGAAATAATGCAGACAAGCTATACGGAGTATCATGTACTCATCTCGAGGCATCCGTTGGGTAAAGCTCATTATGTGCAATGCTTTGCACAGTACAAGCAGACACAACGACCGCAAAATCAGTGGTAAATTGTGGATGCGACGGGGTTGCTTATTGTAGTTGGCCCTGGAGTATTCCGTACAATCTGCCGAATATGAAATTGGTCCAGACCAGATGCTGCATGTATGAAGTAAGCGCTAGAGAGTAGTATAAGCACGACACTGCGTCTGGAAAACAGTACCTTCTTTCTACAGCTGCCAGAGGTCATAGACATCTATATCTGTAGCCTGCGCATAGTGGCCAAGCTCTGGACGCCATGACTTGCCAATGTCTTGGAGAATCTTACGCACAGACTTGCCGCAGTCAATGGGAATCTCTAGGGGTTTGGGTTCTTGTAACCATGGCTCCAAACCAACAATGATCACCATCCAGAGTCCAAGGTCAGCAATGCAGCGATCCATACGGCCATTGAGGCCACTAATAGCTTCTTGGCCCGGTAGTGCAGTTCGCGCGCCCAAATGGCGGCTGTAACAACATTGAAGCTGCTTACAGAAATAGTACAGTATATCATCTCGAAATCCATACTTCACTAATCGTTGGGTACAATGTATGGCAATTATATATTATTCCCATACAAAGACGAAGTAGCAATGAATTGGAATATATAACACATCGATGTTTCTAGACCTCACTAAATTAGGAAAGCACAACAGTTCCCGGGAGACACGGACGAATATCGGCCTACACCGTGCATCATTTTCCCAATATAATGGTTGACCGCGTGCGATAAAACGTATGAACATATCGCCCGCGTTACCGGGTTTGAAAGTAAGATTACATGTAGTCAGGTATAAAAACGTATATGAGATAGCAATAGATATTAGCACTAGTACCCTTAGTAGTCTGCATTAGGCGCATGAATACATAGTTATTTATTAATACCGGGAAGGATAGCGACACCGACTCATACATCTCCAGTCGGTGAGTTATTATCTTGGCTTTATGCGATAAAGAAAGGTTCCAAATAAAATGAAGGCAGCTGTATGTTGACCACTTGGATATCTCAGGTAACGTTTCTAAGCCCGAGTATAAATTGGTTTGAGAGCGGGCAACATCCAATGCAATGTTAATGCGAATGTAGAATGATTTCTATGTGACAAGCAGTCGGACTTTTGACCCTTGTCAAAATGATTATGGTCCTTTGAGACAGAGCATTGAGACCTAGGCAAACTCTTTTTTTCTTTATCTATTCATGACGAGTTGTTGTTCTTGCGGGGCTTGCAGAGCGCTATTTCCGAACAGAAGTAGCAACCAGGTATAAAAGAAAACATCCTTAATATCAAACATCCAATGCAAAATACACAAATCGACGTACTCAAAGAAGTATACTTTAATAATGCTTCCCGAAGGGTTCAAATACAGTAAGTTATGCTTATTCTACCTTCGTTGTGCCCAATGTGTAGTTAGGCTAAAGAAACTTTTCTCGTCCTGTGAGGGCATAGGCTGTATTGAGCACAAAGTTTTCCAATGCCGAATCGCTTCGTGGCAATCTTTTCTTAAATTTATCAGATTGGCGAATAAAATTTCGTAAATAGGCTCTCTCAATCTCATCGACTCCTTCATAAGCCATAAACAATGGTGGTTGAGTCGAAATGGCAGGCAGCGTACCCAATGTACCAATGTATGCCACGCACATGCAGATGTCCCGACACAATGTAGTGTGCTCATGGTCTAAGAGAGTGACTTGTTCATCTAGAATACTGGCCAACTCGCGTAGAATTCGGTTCAGGACAATGGAGAGCATTTTATATGTTATCCAACACTGTGCGGACCCCATGTTCCCAGAATGATACTTCATGCCTAACGGAGATTCGTTGTCTGGCAATTCAATAATGTTACCTAATCTGCGCACCTTTTCGACTATGCGCTCACCCAAAACCTTGAGCTCGGGAATGATGTTCAAAACTCGTACACGGAGAGATGCAGCGCTCTTCCTCTTTGAAATTGTGTTGGGGTTGTTGTGTACAAACCTAAGTTGATGCACTAGCGATGGCCAGTAACTACCATGCAGGTCCAGAGCATACGCATCTAGACGTTCACCAGGAATATCCATAGAGTTTCTCAGGGCCTCATCCATCTTTTCTTTCCACTGTGGCGTAAGATAAAACACTTGCTTTCCTTCGACAAGCGAGAGTGCCAACTAGACAAAGTCAGTCCCGTATTTGTCAATGCCCATGCACAGTTACCTACCAGTGATCCCAGATTGTCAAAGGCCAAACAGGTATCCAACTCATCACTGAGTCTCGGAGGCCCTCTCTGGAGCATCAACCCGTACATCCCTTGTCCATGCAATGCTCTATGGCGGGGTCGACTCGCGTCGAATAGAATCTCGACTCGTTCCAAAATGGTGACTGCGGCTAGCGTCTCAGTGCTAAGCTGCTGGTGTTCATCGTTGAGAGCAATTTGTAGGCTGCGCAGCGCCTTGCCATAGGCATCAGGATTAACTAATTGCTCCACTGGTAGAGCCCGTCGAAAATTGGTCCAAGTAGAACAGAGCAGGGCAACGCAGTCACGCAGCGCAGAGCTTGCTCCTACACGAGCGGGCACAAATTTGATGTGGCCCGCAGTTAGCAAGAATGTATTGTCCGGACTATTTTCGAGATGCCTGATGAGAGTGGCAGCCAGACGATCTGCCACAGTTGTGGGATTGGGTCGTGGCTCCTGTGGTAGACGCAGCACGCTGTAGCTCGCCCCGCCGGGTATATCTCGAGACTTGATGGCGACAATGGCGTGAGATGGAGCGCTAGACGGCACCTGTAGGTTTGTAGATGTGACTGGCACCACACAATCCGCTCTACTAGCGGTGGTATAGATGCCGTTGTAGACAAACTTGGCATCAGTCGGCGGTCCGGAGCAGACGGCATCGACGTGATAGCATGGTGTGCAAGTTGGCCAATTTTGGTCACACTACGAACAGTATGAGTAAGCACGTCTCAAGGCCATGAGCTTAATGCAAGATATCAGACCTTGATTTTACGGCGCTTGCAACGCTGACACCGTTTGGATGTGGGAATGCCTGGCATGACAGCGCATTCTGCCGGGTGTGAGCAAATAGGTCCCAAGTTGCGCGGCCCCTGTTGACCTGTTAAAGTGTGCTACCGCTGCGTTGCTTTGGGTGGAATGAAGGAGGTAACCTGACCTTTATAAGCCCGGCGTTTATTGCAGGTGGGTGAGTCGCCAGTGCGATGATTGGCGGGGATGTATGAAGATATTTGTGCCCGTATTCCATATCTGGGCTGAAGTTTCTGAGAGAACAGCCAAGGGGCGCGCCATATCTTGCTCAATTTGGCAACTTAGCGCGCATAACCCCAAGCCCTATATCCTCTGCAGCGTAGATCTTTGGTAGCCACATGACGTATCCTGTGGTTGTATCTATCAACGTACGCTCCATGATTGCTATGATTCTGGCTTCGTATAAGATGTACGTAATAAGGAGTCTTAGGCAATATTCATTGGGCCCAGCTACATGCATTGGTACCAAAGTTTACCTACCTATACATCTTTTGGCTCGGAATGGACACTACTCTCTCGCTCAGACCTCTCTAAATAGCCGTGCGATGAGGCCCATGGCTGGTCACTCTGTCCTTATGCTAGGAAATAATCGAGTTCCACCCTGTTAAATTGATGAAAAAAGAAAAAAACAGCGAACAGTCACATAACAGATTGCAGAAAACGTCTTATATCATCAAATCTAAAGGCGGTATATAATTGCGGGCACCGCTGCAAAACCAGCCGTGAGAGTCAAAACGGGGTGATTCTTACCAGCAGCACCATTGTCTGTTGTTGTAGTAGCCGAGTTAGGCACAGTGGCAGTTACTATGATAGCGATAACAGCGATGGCTCTAGAAGACCTCGACTTATTGAAGTTTGAGCTGGAGCCGACTCGGAGCCCAAGTCTATAGCGTCTGTCGTAACCAGAGTCTTTGACGCAGATTTGGGATTTGCGGAAGCTTGGGTGGTCAAAACAAGTAGTCTTACCTCAGCCGTCGCTTTTTCTGCCAACGCAGCAATAGGCAGTAATTCTCCTGGCCATCGTGAAACCTGGGCAACACACAGTGACCTGATCCGACCCGAAACCATTCAATATTTGCTTCAGGTCATCGTCAAATTTAACGTCTTCATATTGGAGATGATGCTGACAGCATTCTTTCCCCTGAGCTTAGCACAAAGGCTTCATAATACGAACAACAAAGGACCTACAGCAGAGACGGGGACTGCACGCAACGCAATAAGACGAGCGGCGTTTGACAAGTCCACTATTTAAGCAATAAATTAATGAGTATAAAAGGGATTAACATATATATTTTCTCGGAAGATATAGGCCAATCTTTCCGTAGTTGCGAGCTCGTATTTTTAAAAAACCCGAGCGCTAAAAACTTTAAAACCCGTAACGTGGCCAATACGCTGCTTGCTAAAGCCGAGCCTATTCATCGCGATAAGCGCATCGCCCACTGAGCTACTCCGTAGTCCGTGAGTGGAAAGTAAATAAGAGCGTCTTTCTTTATCTAATTACTGGAAAAGGCAAAAAGAAGCGACCTGGCGGACAAATTTGTCACAATATACATGTATTAGAGCCAAACGGATAAATACAATCTAAGAAGTAGCGATCTTGAGCTAGAAATTCCACCGATATCTCAAAAAGGTCAACTTGCTTATGCTGGGTTTTTAGGTGATTTCTCTACAGTCAGTTCGTCTACTATTAGCAACAAAAGCTCGTATACGGAGTACTTAGTTAATCAGCCCCAAGGTATACTACGTTATACAGTGTTGTTGGGCTCTAAACCCTGTATTATCCACTTAGTGATCTCTATTTGGCTACATCAGCTATACGCACAAATTGTAAACTCAAGGAACTCAGATCTCAATCTTCTCATAGTCTCCGACGGAGTAATCAGTCATCACTTATATAGGAGAGATTGGTAACCGAATTGGCCCCACAAACGATTATCTCGTCGAATGACAGCTATCAGGTTCTTTGCCCAAGGTATTTGGCCGTGAAACTTGAGATGGACAATATATGTATAAGGCCGCCCGCTCCTGAAGCTTAGAATATCTCTGTGGCGCCTAACCCGACATTTTCCATACTATATCTTGATCATTGCAACACTATTCAAAAATGAAGTTTTCTTCCCCTTTAATGCTACCCCTTGTCATGTTGGTTGCGGCGCTTCCTAGTGATTTGGATAACAACATTATCAGGCGCTCAGGCGAGGGTGTTCATCTGGATAACTGCTCTGGTTCAGGTGGTATTACATACTCTGAGGTCACTATAAGCTGACTTTTACCTGCGATCTACATATATACCACCAAGCTCTGACTAATTCTTGCCTCCCAATACTGGTCCAATGATGCCAATGCAGTAAGTGGCCATACCGCGACGGATACGTGTACTGCGACTACAAATTCCTGGAAGATATGGGAGGGATCAGGATCATGCAAGTTTTCGGATACAGGCGTGACTTTCTCATGGAGTATCAACTCCAATGCTGGCTCTTCTCAATCATACCAAAAGGCTGGGTCAGTCTTGGAACATTTTCTACATCCATGTGATTTGAACACACACGCTACCGGAAATATTAAAACTAACTCCATTCTCATACAGATCAGGGGGAAATGGTGCCAGGGGTTTTACATGCTATAAGGATGATGGACATGGCATTAGCCAAAAGAACAACGGCGTCACTTGCAAGTCGATTTATTACTGTATTTAGTATTACACAGGAGTCTCCACTTTGGATTCTTTGAGAGATTGTGTTTCATCTATTGCTCTCGAATGGAACCCATCGTCAAGTGCCTTTTATCGGTGACTAGGTGAAATGTCATCTTGCACATGCTGCCCATATGTGTGCGTTAAATTTTCTAGATTAAATTCATCAACAACGCGCCATCTTTTCCTCTGGGGATGATAACATAATATAAAGCTAGCTAACCCTAAATCCTTCCCAATGGATGCTGATTTTATAGTTAGTTACCTTGTTCAGCTGGAGCTATCTCCGGATCCGCTAGACCCAGTGGCACACACAAGGTATGTCCTAATACCCGTTTCTATCAGAAGTTTAAGGGTTTTGCATCGATTATATGAGCACGGCTACCTCTTACGCTGCCAGCATTAATTTAGTATAAGATGCCGTGCGCGGCCCGGAAAATTATAGGTGAAGCGTGCCGCCCTATTCGCTATCCCGAACCCGTACATCGAGTACTGCTCTTGGGTCATCCTCCACCCCACCATTAGGAAAGTGAGCCTGCACGACTAGTTATGTGTGGTTGGTCCCTAACGATGATATGGAGAAAACGCCCCATAGGCCACTCATTGTTAAACTCACAGTAAGTTCAAAATGCCAGTTGCAGGGTTATGTGTTAATGGGCAGAACAATAATTGACTTTCTTTATAATCTAGACTGCTGAAGTTGAATTGAATTGCGCTCTGATCTATCAACTACCTATGGGGAAGACCGTAGTGTAAATTTAGCGAATGACATCTAACAGCTGCCTTGAGACTAAACTTGGTGATGATTGCTTGTCTCTCCTAGTCTTCTATAAAGCGTGTGGCATTATTTCAGACATTGGCCAGAGCCACTTAATGCTCTAAGCCGGAACGCAATAATACACAGAAGAACAGGTGCGGGACCATTCAGGGCCGGAGGTAGTGAAGAGCCCCCGCCCGTTGTCTCGGTAGCAATTCCAATTTTTGCCGTTATTTCCCGTTCTATAGGCTATTAGTAAGTCTACAGACCAATATATATAAAATAGAAAACGTTAAAAGAATACTTACCCCGAAAAGTTGGGAAAGCTATGAGAGCCAGCCACTATTTGTGAGGTAAAAGTGACTCCGGTGGAAAATTTACACGCACGACTCTGGCCCTCCCAAGATGTATAGGAGCTGGCAGAAACAGTGCACTGGTCTTGACTAGGCGGTACCTGTCCATTCGATTGCGCACTCGCGGTGTAATACTGGATACTTATCAGCAACAAGTCATAGGTTGAGGGATAGAGTTTGATCTTACAATGATCTCCGACGAGGCTGTAGGACTACCTGAAGAGACTGACTTAAGGCAGTTAGAGAGATATACAATCTCCGTGTCCCGTTTTTCCAATGACTCTAAATCGCTCTCGGCTGGATGGATCGGAGTGGCATAAACAGCTGCGAGTAGCAGCGAGATAACAGAGATGAGCTTCATTGTTTTAGTTCGGTCAATAGATTACTATCATGAAGAAGCGCAAGTTGAGCTAAACCTTCACCAGAGTGCAAACAGCCCCCTTTTTATACTCTTTCATCTTCCGCGTCTTCATCTAAGTCCCACCTTATGGCCGGTCTGTCCTTAGATGTATTACTTCTAAGGTCACATCAAATGAATCCACTTTTAGCTGGTATTTTTATCATCCAGTCTTCTAGTTACCCTGGTAGGCAAATTTTCACTTACGTCTGTCTTGACCGCGTTGTTAGAAGATGGGGCGGGCAAATTCGGTTTGAGAACCGCTGATGCGTCGAAAATTACTAAAGCGCCGAGAATTACTTAACATGTTCCGATACCTCTCTTTAACACACATTTGGCTGAAGCAAATATCATCCGAGAAATATCAGCCGATGGGGTCACTGGCCAAGTTAGGCGTCTGAATCAGAAGCATTAGTGGGGTTTGAATAATTATAAGGATTACTATTAGGTGATCTCTAGGGCAAAATATTGACCATTTGAGGTGAGAAGAGAAGATAGCTGCTCGAATGTCTTCACTTATTGAGGGAGTCTGTGATAAAAGCTAGCCAAACGAATATAGCGATGCATCGATCTAGAGCGGTGATTTGGAACAATGTGTAAATGACTATATAGCTAGAGTTGCTAACAGATACTAGCTGCGCGAGGTGCAAGCACGAACCACGTGAATACGACTACTACTTTCATTTCTCTGTGCTTGGAATAAGCAAGCCCTCGTGAAAGAAATCTGTAAGTTACATAATAGTAACCGAGCTTCCTGTAGGGATCCTAATCCTAGTTCTTCCCGTTCTTATACGCAATTTGTCACTACTTCAAAAGATTTTGTAGTTGGTCCTAGCTTACAGTGAAGTGGACTGAAAGCGAAGGGGTGGGGTTGCGGAATACGAGATCTTCTGGCTGGATTTTTTTTGGAAGGTGGATTGCTGTTAATAGTTTGGAATAGTGTGCTGCGTTCTGACTGTTTGCGGATGGGAGGATTTAAACGGGAGACGCGGTCTATATAAGAGCCATGTCTTGGACGTCAGGCATTATTTGTTGAAACACTGAATTCTCCATCCATTGGTCCAACCTTTTACTCAAAGAAAGATTATTCAAGATACCTAGTATTCAGATCCAGTACTTAGAAGCTAGAGACATTTCATTTTGCCTACATCCTTCAGGTTTTGCATCTTTAAAAAGTAAATATATGTGGTTATTAGCTCCAGTGGGTTAAGAAGAGGGTATCTGGTCGATCCCTAGTAAAATATGCAGATTAATAAACAGATCACCAATATAGCACTACCATGATACTCTAGCAACCCCAGAGAAGCCAATGGGCCTTATACCTCAATACTTATAGCTAGGGATCAAGAAACATTTAAGTAATAGCTAGATGATATGTAGAGGCAGAGAAGAGTTTGGCTGACAAGAGTTGATGGATTTGGCTGCTACATGAGAACGAATTGTAAATATATACCTGAAGGATATAAACATATATGTAGTATGAAACTTCTACAAGGGATTTGTAATTAACATTATTTATTTACCAAACCATTGCAGTCATTAGTGAGACGAAACTTCGATCTTTTTAAGTGTAACATTTTGCAAATTCACGGTGTGCTTTATCAAACGAACGTGATTACAACCTAGCAAATAGGTTTTGCACCACTTGTTTCGCTACTTGCAATCACAACCCAGTTTTAATTACATCCAAAATATCTCCAATATATAAAATGCCAAATTAATTCGAAGTGAAAGTTGACAGCCGCTGCAGCTTTCGAAGCCTGAAACTTGTTCTCCCAACCTATGTTGCAAAGACACGAGTCTCTACAGAGAGCTTCAAACAGACAGTAGAGCAGCGCCCTAAAGGTTACATATTCCATCGCCCCGAGCAAATGCGGCTGGGGAGTAACTCCAGCTGGCTGTTTTAAGTTACATTAGTTATACTGTGTCATGCCATAGGATTCGCTCATTAGTGTGGATGGAAGGTTGATGGGGTAGAGCTTGGAGATTGAACTAGGGACAATACATACTTGGGATGACATCCATGGGGGTCAGGTTAAGCGCAGACCAGAAGTAGAAGTCATCGGTGCGGAAGTCTGACACGGAATTTGGCGGGCAGGTATTCTTGAACTGAGTGTAGCGGTCGTCGTGCATCGAATGGTGCCACTTCCCTACAAAGATCCTTGCGTGATTTTTGCTTTTGTTGCCAAGGGAGAGCCAATCCTCTTGATCACTAAACGTTGATTGTAAGTGCCCATGTGGCGAGAAAGACAGACGTAAATAGAGGTACGAGGCCATGGAAACAGCAACTTACTAAAACGTGTTTTGAATTTGGTCCCAGGGCTTGGATGGATGAGATCCGTCTTGTTCAAAAACAACAGAATCACGAATAAACGTGTTTCCACCATCGTGTGATTTCCATACCATCACAATCCATTCTATGTCATGTCTGTGGCCAGTGTCCTGTATGATCCACTCGTCAGCTCTCCGAAATAGGTGGAGGCTAAAACATGCAATTGGGGCGCTGAGGCATTGCCTGCAATGGACATACCTTCGTGAAGTAAACATTATAAGCGATGCGAAACTCGGTAGTGCTGCAGCGCCGAAGATCCCAATAAGTGGGGAAGGAATAGAGTTCCGTGTTCTCGCCATTCCAATTTGGCTGCGAGTGGCAATTGTTGTTCAACTTGCCTATGTTACAGTTATCAGGGGCATTTCCCCCGTTTTGATTACCGTTGATTATGGCGGCGTCAGGAAGACAACTCCCAGTTGGAAGATTCCATTGACTATGATGAGACTTGTTAGCATAAAATCCGTGTAATGAACTTAGATCACGCAGTCATACGGTGCGCCGGCAGATGCGACAGAGACAGGATTATTATAGAAATCATCCACGTGGACCGGATCATTGGCAACCACAATGCCAAAGAGCGATGCGACAGTCGCTATGCCCGATAGAATTCTCTTTGCATTGGCCATGTCGAAGATATCGTAGGACAGAAATAATCAGAAAACTTCGTCACAGGTTTGAATTGTCTGAGTATCAAGTGATGGAAGAGGTAAAACAAAGTGTTCACTGCCTTTCTTATATAGCTGTCAAAACACAAACTTGAAGTAGTGCTGAAGAAACGCACTCTCCAGTCAGGCTCACGCAGGGCCGGGGCTTGGTGTCAGCACTAGCCTATTCTTCATGTCATCCGCCGAAGTCCAACAGTCGATGATACTATGGTATGAAGGCATATTACTAGTGGATATTTGCTCCGGTGGCACTGGCTTTCGCTTTGCAACGCCATTTCCTGGTTCGGTAATTTCTCCGTTACATTGCGCTCTACCAACTGTATAATCTCATATCCCGTATCAGACCATCCATTGAATGGATGTTAGCTGACAGGCCATGTGAAAAATCTTCCCCATCTGGTGGAGAATACCGTTCCCATTACTCAATGCAGCTCATCTAGCGAGCGAGGCATGTGGACGTGACTTGTGGTCTTATTCGTTCATTATGCTAACATGTATAATAAACCCAGACTAAATGCTCGAAATAAGAATCCCAAAAGCGCTTTTCAAAAGGAGTAAGAGAGCATAATCGCAATTTACCACCGATTAGGAGTGACTACTGACTATACATACCACAGGTATAATCTCTTACGTATACTTATGCCTCATGCTCTATGCACGAAGTGTTGGCAATGGATGACGTAACTAATATTTGTGACAAGCAAAGGATTCTGGAGAATTCCCATTTGATTGAAGTGGTTACGGTTTGACGGATGTGAACTTATTGCATATGGCAGACTCAGAAGTGAGCCACATTGTGTGCTGAAGTCTGGATTGATGACTTATTGAGAGTTGGATCCATGTGAGGATTCCGCTGTGCTCGGGCAAGGTTCAAAGCAAAAAGAGAATATAACTTTAATTAAATAAGATAATATTGATCACACACACAGTTGTATGGCTTTGAATTTCACAACTTAGGGTGTACCTTAGGATACTGATTAGCAATAGTATGCTCATTTAAGCATACTAAATATAAATAGAAGAGGGCCCAGCTTTTCGGATACTCCTTGAGCTACGAAGGTCATTTGATAAGATACCCCCTGAAAAAAAGTCGTGGTCCATTCGAATAGCTCTGAACAACTGCAGTTGTCGCGTGAATTGCTTATATCAGCCTAGTTCTTTACAATCTTTCGCACTGCGGCCGGAATAATTCTCTCCATAAACCTATAGCCAAGAGTAAGCCGGGCTACCTGGTGGGTTTCTTCTTAAATGGGTCAAAAGTTTTAGCTCTCTAGGCCTGGTCTCCAAATTTTTAAGCTCCCCTAGGTAGAAGTTCTAAATTATTGACCCAGGGGTATGTGAATTGACCAGCTGATGGCGTTTATCGATTATTTGGACTGTTGTCGAGAAACTCTTATAACCAATCCAGCGCCTGAAGGAGTTATGTTAAATACCTTTGAATGGAATGGCTCTATAACCAAATTTCCGCCATGTGTTGCTCTTTGCGATGTGCCACGAATCGGTAATGCACAACGAGAAAAATAGAACTGTAGAAACCAAACCTGAAGTAAAGAAAGACAGAAAACTATATCGTCTTGTCATTGCCATAGCTTGCTTCTATTTGGTTGCCTGCAACCCATCAGTATGGTTGACTAAAATATAACGTGTGTAAAAAGTTATATCTACACGAGCTATTCCATTGAGAAGAATCACTCAGGGGGCAGAGTGTCCCATCGGCCTATATTTACATGGGCGCTCTTCGCCGTAAGACTTGATGCTCTAAGAATAGATACTACATTGTATTACATGCGAGGGTGTCAATACGCCATAACCATTATTATATAGAGTCACAAGTGGAACATTGCCGGCATGTGTCATACAAGATGTAGAACAACGGAGGTAGAGTTGAAATATAGATGTAATACGTATCTAATGGTGAGGTATCTGCTTCCCTAAGTTCAAATCATTTCCGACTACCATTTTTAGCCTCAGATCATTTGACTTGATATGTTTTTCTTTTCAGAATAGAGATATCGTCGCTGGTGACATACTGGATACATCAACCTCATGTCAAGGTTGTATTTGCTTATTCTATGGTATGATGGACCAGGAGACCGCAATGCTATGGTCGATCTTCTCTATTATGCAGAGATTGAGGTTCTACCTAGGTTACAAGGAGGGAGAAATACACGGTCGGCGGTCGGGTCAATGAGATACAATTTGTCCGAGATGCTCATACCAACGCCAGCAACAACAACGAGCCGTCAGGCCCATCTGACTACGACTAGAGTCAATTCACAGCTTCATTATTGCGCAGAGCTTCTTAATGACACACGTAGAGTTTGAGGAGAATCTGTCGACAAAGAAAAAGCCGCACGCCACAGAACTGACTTTGGAGCAATCTTGGACGTGTTATGAATCCCGCATCTTTGCGACTTCAAGATACCTCGCTGGAGACGTAACATCTTTCTACTCATATAACGCAGTCTTTGAGGATATATGTAAGTAACATGGTTTCATAGTAACTCACACTGACTGACTTGGTCCATTTATGTTGGGGAGAGCTACTCTTTGCAGCAGGCAAATCCGATCTGATAGATCGTCATCCAAATGTCAAGCGGTGGTGGGATAACATTCATCAACGCCAAGCGTGACAAACCGTCTTAAATCGACGCAAACAGTTGCAGTTTGGGAGTTCCCATGATGAGCTATTACCATGTACGTGCAATTTGATTGAAATTAGAAAAGTTTTCTGTTGCCGGTATTATGAATCTGCAACCTCTGGGTGCACAAACGCCACATTCTTGGGTTTGATATTTCGTAGTGGTAGTTCATGCGGCGGTAGCTTGATTCTATAATTTTGCCACATGTACACATAGTGATCTGTTAACAGATCTCAGCACACAAGTTTCCACATAGTGTAGAGGTATGCATTTCTGATTGCATTTTGCTCGCATTCGCGTAGTAGTGGGCGTACTACCAACTAAGCATAGCAGTAAGCATAGTAGTCGCTGTTAGCAAAGTCCAAAGACTACCTAGCGGCCAAACCAAAATCCCTAAGATCCATAGCCCCTCTCGTATCAACACCATCTAATACTAATAAAGCCTGTAAGCGTCTTAGTTCGTCTTATAATGGCTCCATTAGGCTTGTTGGTGTTATGATCACGCCCGTCTCAGACAGACCGCAATCATAGACACATATATATACTCGAAAGTCCAGAAGACAGAATGAACTCGCTGAGAGAGTAATACTGCTAGCGCTGACGCTGTCACCCGTAAAACGGCACCGCCATAGGGTAGTCCCGCACAAATAGCATGAGCAGATATTTGTGCCCGCCCCCGATTGGCTGCGACGCTTGCAACAGGCTCTTCAGACTTGGTCCGTAGTGCCGCCTCAAAGCCCACTATAACGCCGTTAGGAGGCGATAGGCTACGAGTGATAACAAAAGGTTATAGGTCTAGAACGATGCAATCGTTCGAGGGGTCCTCATTCCAGTATTTAAAGGATGGTCTCTCCCAGTGAGCGAGCATGAGCGATGAGACCAACGGAGATATTTCGACTCTTCTTGCCTCGCTCTAAACTCTCAGACTCTTCGCTCAGCAAGTAAAGTCAATATGGCGATTGATGCTCAGATTCGAGTAGAAGCTGCTACTGTAGCAGATATACCGGAACTGGTTGAGCTCATCAATGAAGGGCTGAATCCAGAAGGAGAGTACAACATCTACCCGCATAATGCCCACGGGGCAAAGTATGCAACTGATGTGTTCGAGGCTCTCCTCAAAGCGGATAACAGTTGCGTCAAGCTACTGGTCGTTCGAGACGCTGAAGGTTAGCCAACAAGCGAGCAAAAGATTCCAACAATAATATGCCGTATTAAGGTAGCTAATTGTTGACTGCAGGCTATCCAATTGCAACGGGAACTGTATACAATATCGCCGCAGGTGATCCTTTTACCAGCGTATGGAACGACTGGGGTATCCCTCTTCAGCGAGGTATGAAACAAGAGGTTATGAATAAACTCTTCGGCGCGTGGACGAAGCGCCACAACAAGCTAATGGGCAACCAGCCTCGAGTGTGTTAGTCTCTCTCTCCAAACAAAACGCCCTTACCATGTCCATCACATTTTCATTTGACCCGACATGGAATCCGGCTGACTATCTTTTCCCTGTATATACAGATATTGAAGCCTTGGTCACTAGGAAGACTTGGCAAAAGCGAGGATGCGCAACTGCAATTCTCGCAGAAGCGGACAAAATAGCAGATGTAATCGACGTCCCTCTCTTTTTAGACGGAGCTGTACCCGAATTATATAAACGGCGGGGTTATAGCGAGGTCCCTAACGACTCTGGCGTGGAAGCATCGGCAGTGCCTATGCTGCGAAAAAAGAAGAGCGAGCGGGTCTGAGGCGTATTATTTTAGGTGCCTTTATTACTGTAGAGGTGCATTGGTGCCGCAAAATGAGTATCCGCAGATATGAAGGAATACGCTCGCCATTCCAGATGAGTTTAGTGTGGCGGGTGTGTGCGTATTGTCTGTTTATGTATGCTGACCATTTCTCGATTGCCTCGTGTTTGGTTAAACATCCAAACTAAACTAACTATTTTTGGCCCATGAGTATGATAATCCATTTCCGGAATGACTACTAAGAGGAGGATCTATTATCCTTTCTTCTAATGTGACTCATAACGTAGGAAGGATTCCTTTATGACGGATGCCGTACCCACCGTATCGTAGTACTACACGAATACTATGATGCGGACTCCCGATGATGTAGTGGACCCCCGCCACCCTCTCTACGAGAGTCAAAAGAACCTCTACATATATCTCTATACCTCACTCACTCCTACTTCCATCAGCCTGGGTACAATCCAAAGGATATATATACACTTCAGAGAATCGGACACTGATACAGTAACGGCGTTTTTGACGAGCTACCACTTGATGGAAGCCGTTAAACGCCGTCCAGATGGAGCAAAACAACGTCAATTCCCATTCGCGATCCAGCGAGCCATACTTCAACGACGAATTCAACGAAAAAGTCCTAAGGCTGATGGATGAATGGCATGTTCCCGGCCTATCAATTGGGCTTATTCAGGACTCCTCAACCAGTTTCAAGGTACATCATGTTCTCAAGAGTATGACGGTAGAAGTAACCAGAGTTTAGGCGTATGGTCTTGCGCAATTACCTGATATTGCTGTAACCCCAGAAACAGTCTTTTTTGCTGCTAGCACTACCAAGGCTTTCACTGCTGCCAGTGTCTCTTTACTGGTGGACAATGCGGATTTGCGCTCGTCTTTCAAGCACTGTCCATCGAATTTGTCATGGCAAACAACGCTCTCTTCAATTTTAGGCGCCGACTTTGCTCTGGACGATGATTCCATCACATCCCGTATCACGCTGGAAGATGCACTTAGCAATCAAACTGGTTTGCCAGACCATAAATTTAGCTTCAAGCCGAAATCAGCATCGGTGAGAGATGTTGTCCACTCTTTGAGGCATCTCCCAAGAGCTGCAGAACCAGGCACACGGTATCTCTATAGCAGCTACATGTTTTCGACTATATCACACGCTATGGAGACTATGACCTCAATGAGTCTGGGCAATTTCATGAAACAAAACATTTGGCAACCTTTAAGCATGACCCGCACCTATTGGACACCGGCAGAAGCAGTGGAAGCCAAGGCATCGGGAACAGTCCTGGCTCGCGGGTACGCTTGGAGCGACGCGAATGAATCATTTGTGGAAGAGCCAATGCCTGATTATCCAGCAGTGTCAGGGGCGGGAGCTATTATCAGCAACGTTGTTGACTACACAAAATGGCTGCAATGCATGATGACTCAGTCTCCGCCTATAAGTCCGGCTGCGCATACCACCCTTACTACGCCGCGGATATCTTTTTCAGCCCCCAGTAACAATCCATTCCCGGTACCGCATTCTTACGCCTTGGGATGGTTCATTGATCACTACCGCGGTCAACGCATCGTATGGCATAGTGGTGGTTGGACTGGATTTGGAACCACCGCGATGTATCTCCCAGATCGCCAATGGGGACTGGTGATGATGGGAAATACAAGAGGGTCAAGCCACTGCGTTCAGACAGCTCTATATATGGGGATGCTTGACGATCTCCTTGGGACGCCTAACGATGAAAGAGTTGACTGGAATGTTGAACTCCAGGAACGTCTCTTCCGGCGAAGATCGGATATTGCTCGCTCCGCAGAGATCCTCTACCCCTCTCTCCCATGTCCGGGATGTTTACCTCTTCTTCCTTACCATGCTTACACTGGAGACTATATTCACCCCGGTTATGGTGATTTAGTTTTGGAGTGCCGTGGAGACTCGCTATACGCTTCGCGTCTTGCTCAAGAGATCTCGATGGTAATACGGATGGTACATGTCTGCAAGGAATCCTGGTTGGCCACTCTAATGACTCTAAACGAAGATCCGCGCGACCACTTGATTGTACGAGCATCATTCAAACTAGATGCCGGTAACAAAGTCACTCAAGTGGGATTAGACCTTGAGCCAGCACTGAACGGGAATATGATTTGGTTTAGCCGGAAAGTGTTGACTGTAGGGTATCCCTGACCGATCTGTCTGCGGATCTCGTAGATCGTGTATAAGACGCCCTACTCTCGACTTTATGATAGATAACTAAAAGAAAATATTCTACCTAGTCTACACATGACAACAGAAATATACATGAAATTTTGATGGTGGTATTCCAAGTACTATTCTAGGAGATGTAATTCAACCTTGAAAGAGGCATAATTATCAAATGGTAATAATCCTCCTTCATGGACGCTTTGAAAAGCTTCTCGTCTCTTCTCACTTTATAAGAAACTTTAAAATTATCGGACCATATCAAGAATCTCCGTGAGTTGTCCCCCCCTTAAACCCCACGCGCCCAAACCCGAATGTCATGGGGAGTCCTCCGTAGTTGCTTACATACCTAGATATATTGCACTAAGCACATTCCATGGTAGATATTATTCACTCTTAACTCCGTTGAGCATGTGATAGTAGTTGCCACAAGCGATATTAAAAACACCCCCGATTTTGAAAAGGGTGGGTGGATAACACGTAGTATAGATGAACAACCTCTCATGATAACAGTATAGCTGGAGAAGATTAATTGGATCAATTGACAGACTAGGTTGGCTTGATTGAGCCGCCAACTATCTATTACATCAACTTAATATGTGTCTGGGTGATAAAGTACTTAGAAAGCTGCAAGGAGTGGTGGGGGAATGACCAAAGTAATACCGTAGAACCTCGCAAAACTCGTTTATGGGCCCTTCTATATGAGGTGACACGCTAACTTGAGAAAGTTAGCCTATTACTTCTCTCAATCAAGACTAGGTATAATTACAAGGAGACCCATAAACGAGTTTTGCGAGGTTTTACGGTGCAAATCAGCCGTGGCCACATGTGGTAATTCTGCCTAGGCATGTCCCGCTGTGGCATACCGCCGATAGGTCATAGGTGATTCCCGGCCGTATTTGGCCCTGCCGATCTGCCGGGGTCCGCGCCAATTACACCTCGTCCTACTCTCCGCGCTTTTATATTGTTAACCTGGGGAAGTCTGGAGTCTGGACCCCAGACTCGCTATCACCCCGCACATACGCAGCAAGAAGCCACAACTCTGCAGCAGGTTTCGGTCCTAAAATGAAATGCTGCTACCTGGTACCGGTGTTCGGAGCTACTCGGAGCATGGGGTTGGACTGGGCTGGGCGGACCCTGGAGTCCGAGATTCCGCGACCGCATGACTTCTGACTCTGCTCATCTCACGTTGTATGGGCCTTTTCCCCTTTGAGCATCGCAGGTTTTGGCGCGAGAAACGCCAAAACAGAACGCGCGCGCTCCACCCCCAAGCTGCCGAAACTTGATTTGCGAGAGCGCCGCGTCCAGAGTCCAGACTGGTTTCGGCGTTGTTCTCTGTTTCTTCTCCCACAGCACCAGCGCCCGTCCGATGTGTGTGGCCGTTCGGATAGATGGCTAGGCTTCATGTCGGTGCAACCACCAAGCATCGCCGAAGCCCACATCTGCCCCCGGACAGTCTGCCGCCAAAGATGCACACAAAAAAACGCTTCACTAGCATGAACAGCTGGCATCATCTCGGGCCTATTCTTTATTGGGACCCTATTTGTCTAGCTACGAGCAAGGTTACCGGGTAAGGGGTGCCGAGCTATTGCCAGCATAGCTCGTCTTTCGCAACGCAATCGTGATGACTTTCTCGGTCGTTCTCCATCTCCGGCTCATGGAAAGCTTCCTCGTGGTTAACTAAAAGGCCCTTTTCTGTTGTCTAACTGAAGCGCGGAGTCCTCAACTCCCTTTGAGCGTAATTTATCCATGTGCACTTACCGTGTTTCAGTATTCTTCTTCAAAATGATATAAGAGCATGGACCCCCCCAGGAAGCCTCTTCTGTCACCCTGCCACTTGGCTCATCCATTGTAATTGCGAAGCTGTGCAGAGAGATCCTGTCATCATGGGCTTCATGCGCTCCGTCGTGCTTTCGGCCCTGGCGCTTGCTGCGACCTGCCGGGGCGTGATTGTCCCTGGGGCCGAGGCTGAACCCGCTTTGGAAAAGCGTGCTTCGTCTTATTGGTATGAGAATATAGCCAAACAAGGAGTTGCGCCGTTCGCACCTAGCGGTTACACCGTATACCGCAATGTCAAGGACTTTGGCGCAAAGGGTATATTATTCTCCCTCATTTCGTAAGGTTCCTCACAGTTACTGACGTAGAATGCTCAAGGTGATGGTGTTACCGACGATACGGCGGCAATTAACAATGCCATCCTGTCAGGGGGTCGATGTGGCCGACTCTGCAAGTCCAGCACTTTGACTCCGGCCATCGTGTACTTCCCAGCGGGAACATACCTGATTTCGACTCCCATCATTGATCAGTACTATACCAACATTATTGGAGATGCGACCAATCTTCCCACCATAAAAGCGACGGCCAACTTCAACGGTATTGCTCTCATTGATGGTGATACCTATTATGGCGACAACAATCCCAATGACCCCAACTGGATTTCTACCAACGTCTTCTATCGACAAGTGCGCAACTTTAAGCTTGATATGACATCTATGCCGGCTTCGGCGCCCAGGACGTATGGTATCCATTGGCCGACAGCCCAGGCGACAAGCTTGCAGAACATCCAGGTCACAATGACTACTGCGTCTGGAAATCAACAAGTGGGCCTCTTCGTCGAAAACGGTATGTATTACAGAGCCACGAGACTCTTTCATCTGTTCCTAGCTAATAGCTCCATAGGTTCTGCTGGATTTCTCACAGACTTGACTTTCAACGGTGGCCTGATCGGTGCCGCTGTGGGTAATCAACAGTTCACGATGCGCAACTTGGTATTCAACAACTGTGGGACAGCCATTGTCAGTGGGTTTACCTGGGAGTGGGTTTACCAGGGCATCAGCATCAACAACTGTGGATTGGGAATTGACATATCGTCCGCCGAGTCTATTACACTGATTGACAGTTCCATCACCGGGACGCCAGTCGGAATCAGGACCAGCTACAGTGCGAACCAGTCGCCCCCCACATCCAACAGCCTCATCATTGAGAACCTTTCTCTCAACAATGTTCCAGTGGCCGTTCAATCGACGGGCGGCGCTACTCTTCTGGCTGGCGGAACTACGACAATCGCTGCATGGGGCCAGGGCCACCAGTATACTCCAAATGGGCCGACGTCGTTCCAAGGCACTATCGCAGCAAATGCCCGTCCCTCGTCACTCTTGAGCGGGTCCAAATATTACACACGCTCAAAGCCTCAATATGAAACCCTGCCGGTTTCTTCGTTCAAGAGCGTCCGATCTGCCGGTGCCACTGGTGAGTACGAGCCCCTGTGATTTGTAGAGATTTGAGTGCTAATCTAGTGTGCTATTCTAGGTAACGCGGTGACGGACGACACCGTAGCTCTACAAAACGTCATCAACAGTGCAACCGCTGCAGGCCAAATTGTGTACTTCGATGCTGGCATTTACCGCATTACTAGCACACTCAAGATCCCTCCCGGTGCGAAGCTGGTCGGAGAGGAGTATCCCATCATCTTGTCTTCTGGAAGTTTCTTCAATGACCAGAACAATCCCAAGCCTGTTGTCCAAGTGGGTACACCTGGCCAGACTGGGCAGGTGGAGTGGTCAGACATGATTGTTGCCACTCAAGGCACACAAGCTGGAGCTGTTCTTATCGAGTGGAATTTGGCTACTTCTGGAACTCCAAGTGGTATGTGGGATGTACATACCAGAATTGGTGGCTTCAAGGGGTCAAACCTCCAGCTTGCACAATGTCCGGTCACTGCGGGCAGCTCGGCTGTCAACACAGCTTGTATTGGCGCCTACATGTCCATGCACATCACGTCTGGCGCAAGCAACCTGTACTTGGAAAATGTGAGTCAATCTAGCATGGAAACTTGGCCTACTAGCTAACTTGGATAGAACTGGTTCTGGACGGCAGACCACGACATTGAGGACTCAAGCAACTCACAAATCACCGTCTTCAGCGGCAGAGGCTTGTATGTGGAGAGCACTGCAGGAACGTTCTGGTTGTATGTGACCTCTTCTATCCGAGTTCCGAATTTTTTTCTTCTATTTTGCTTTGAGCTTTATGCTGACACACTCTTCTAGTGTCGGAACCGCTGTTGAGCACCATGTTCTCTATCAGTATCAGTTTGCCAATACCCAAAACATCTATGCAGGAGTTATTCAGACAGAGACACCGTAGGTATATCAATGCCCCTCATTCGCTCCCGGCTAATAAATCCGACCAGGTACTACCAACCAAATCCCCTCGCACCAACCCCTTTCACCGTCAATACTGCTATAAATGACCCCGACTTTGCAGCTTCCTGCGCCGGCAAATCTGGTCGATGCGCTGAGGCTTGGGGCCTGAGAGTCCTTAGCTCCAAGAATGTTCTCATCTATGCTGCTGGCTTATATTCTTTCTTCGAAAACAACGACGGAAAAGGTAAACCTGCTTTTGTTTTGTCCCTTGTATAAGAATAAGCTAACGTGTAAAAGGCTGTAACAACGGTGTAGAGCCGCAAAATTGCCAAAATAACATCGTCGACCTCGAAGGCACGCTGACCAACGTTAACATCTACAACTTGGGGACAGTTGGTGTCGTCAATTCGATTGTGGAGAATGGAAATGTGCTGGCAGCTTCTTCTGACAATGTCAACGCCTTCGCTGATGTTATAGCTCTGTTCCGACTTGCTTCTGGCAGTGGAGGCACCACCCCCCCTCCTCCTAGCTCCACAACAAAGACAGGCCCGACAACAATGTCAACCATAACCACTAGCTCGTCACCGCCGAAGCAAACTGGATGGAATTTCCTGGGATGCTACTCTGATAATGTTAACGGTCGAACTCTGGCCAACCAGGTCCAAGTCCCAGGAGGTGCATCAGCCATGTCGATCGAGGCGTGTGAGACGGCTTGCAAATCCGCTGGATATACTATTGCAGGTCTCGAATATTCAGGAGAATGCTGTAAGTATTATAACGTGGACAACAACACTCCGAATGGCACTAATGGTACCTAGGGTGCGATAACAAGTTCGGAAACGGAGGCGGCCCTGCTTCTGACGGAAGCGCTCAATGCACCATGACCTGTAGCGGTGCGCCCCAGGAAACCTGTGGAGGCCCAAATCGCCTTGACGTGTACGCAGTGGCGACCGCAACTGGAGCTCCACCTCCCGCGTCCACCGGATGGGCCTTGAAAGGATGCTATACGGATAGCGTCAACGCTCGAGCATTGATTGCTGAGGGTGTTCCCAACGGGCCATCGTCCATGACTGTTGAGGCATGTCAAAGTGTCTGCAAAAGCTTAGGCTATGTTCTTGCAGGCGTCGAATTTGGCGACGAGTGCTGTAAGTCTTCTCCCAGTTCGTGATTCATTGGTTCTGGCTCTAACAAATCTCAGACTGTGGTAACAGCCTCGCCAATGGTGCTACCATCGCTCCAGACGGAAACGCTGGGTGCAACATGAATTGTGCTGGCAACGCTGCTGAAACTTGTGGTGGCTCCAACAGACTGAACCTGTATAGCTATGGCTCTTGATGTATCCTAGATATACAAGGGGACATATGATGTGATATGTACTCCACACTAACACTAGAAGTCTGACAAAAAAAGAATATTGGAGGAATTTGTATATACCTGGTGTCTCCTCTGGTGATTGGGCATTGTACACCTTAGCCGTTGATTTGCCCTTGTTATTGGGCCATTGTGATGTATTCCTACTCAGCAGCCATCGTCTTGTTTTTAAAGATATAATAATACCCTACTACGGAATCTGAGCCTTATGAAGAGGCAACTTCAATCCAGCGTAGCATACACCCCTAGATATAGTCATTTAGTACGATGAAACTATTCAGATGAGTCTTCTAATGCTCATAGTGATAACTTCACTTGGCACAAAGACAGATCCCATATGAACATATTAGTGGTACTCGGCTTAATGGTCGTCTATATAACATTACAGAAACTATAAAAAGGACATATTTCTAGGGACCAACGATGTCCTGTGCATCATCCATTCTCCTAGCTTCGATCCACGAGATAGCCTCTTCTCGGTTTCGGCAAACATGAGGTTGCCCTCTTTCTTTATCATCTGGTGTTGACATGGATCCTTCCAAGGTCATATCAAGATTGCATAGAATACTGTTACGAAGATACTCGAAACAATGGGCAGCATGTCTCGGGTTATCGTCTTCGCCGGGTCCATTCAGTATCAACTGATGGTAGCTATCCACGCTGTAATATAGCTACAAAGGGTTGAATATGATTAGAGAAGGAAGATTAATAGATAGAGACGAGTGAGAGTAACATAGACTAACACAGTGCAATGCGTGAGTCCATGACGCTTCAAATAACGGTCCGGAACGAATAGGGTCATCTGTAATAGGATTTCCAAGCAAAGGGTGATCCCGGTAGTCTGGAATAAGGATACTTCCGCTCCCAACTATAAACGTTATTAGCACATCTTCTTACAACATCAACAGCGGATTATCGGTTTCGTACGTGGCATCAACATATCCCAGTTTTTCCGAATTTCCATGCGATTATCATTTGATGTCATGTTCGGCACGTATTTATCTTCTTCGGGCTTGAGAAATGTGTACGTGTGCGATACTGCCCTATAGTTAGATTGGAGAAGTTCGACACCGACAATGCGGTACTCACGCGTCTTGTAAATGCCATTTATGTCACTGCCTGCTTCAACAAATTGGCCGCCTGCGGCTAAGTTTTGAGGATCGTTTCTTAGTCTTGTATCATGACTTGACTTTATGGAAACTAATATGATGAGAGTTGTCTGAAGCCCAATGACAACCCCCCATCGTAACCATGTCCACAAGTTGGAGGACGCCCTGGCCTTTTTCGTTGGGTGTTGTGCTAAATAGGGTGTCGATAAATCTGCATTATCTCTGAAAGAAAGGGAATTGGCTTTGTTGAAGAGGTTGGTGATTGATGAAGACCTGTTTGTCCCAGGCTTATTATCCTCTAGATCATCTCCACACTCATGGAAATGGTCGTCTCCTTCAAGTTTGCAGTATTTCCCAGCGATTGCCATAGTCTCACCAAGATCCAGTTGGTGAAAATGCATAGAATTTAGAAAGACAATGATTGCACAAGAACGAAATGAAGAAGAAGAAAAGGGTTCTCCCTCTCCCTACTAGCAAGTGAATTTAGAAACGAAATGATGCAACGAGGAAGGTTTTTTTTTAGAAATAGAGAATTAAAATAGCCGCCGAATTGATGAAACTAGTTCAAACGACATCGCCCCTCGTGTACTAGTGCACAGTCAAAACTTTTATTGTTTGAGGCGAACAGAATCTCTCACAAACAAGTATTATATGAAACAAACCCCTTTAGCGAAAACCCTCTATGCGGAACAGAGGTATTCGCTAAACTATGCGACGAGTGTTTAAGTGATCTAGCGATCGGCGAAATACTAGAATCAAAGTAGTTGAAACTGGGTCGGCTTTTTCAACCTCTAGTTAGCTACGCAACCGTAATCCCACTGTTCATACCAATTAAACCCGACAGCTAAGTCCATACACCACAAGCGACGTCTTAAATCTGGCTCGCAGCGCTACAGCACTTATCGGGGTGCTATCCTGAAGTTTACTTAGCACCTGACTGTCTGTCGAGTCCGGATTAAATATAAAGACGGGTGATGTATACTACCCTATATTTTGCGAGGTATCAAATATTACTTGCCTGGGAGTTATTGAATATAATTTTGAAAGATAGGCTTGAGTTACATGTAGTGAAAGTTTAGTTTTAAATCAGATAGCTGTTTTAGTTGAGTATTAAGTTGTTAGGCAATTGGAACGAAAGCGAACCTCCGAGTTTAGATGGGTTGGGTGGTGTTGAGAACAAGGCACAGCTGGAGACCTATTGTATCTAATTGTAGGTTATGAACATATAACACGTAAAATTCTTGTTTAAGGGCAATAACATGAAGGCATCAAGACCGAATGCACAGGATGAGAGTATCGTTATCATTGTAAATTCAAGGCTACATGTTGTTTTAACTGAATTCACCTAGTCCTCCAGCACCTCCATATTTCCCACTGAGTGGTCTAGCGCCCACTCGCGCACGTTGTCAAAATTTCGACAGACATGCTTCGAGTTCAATTCGGGCCAAGCAAGCGGATCGTCTGGAATCATATAGAAAGTGAAGAGACCGATATCCGCGTTACATTGAATATTTTGGCGAAGTACTTCGATGCAGTGATCTACATATGTATGAGTAACGTCGTGTTTAATGCGTTCATCATGCCGTCGACAAATGGACATGTGCAAACATACCTGTGTGAGCTTGGAGGGCTTCCGGGCCATGAGCAAACTCTCCGCCAAGAGGTTCGTAGTATTCCTTATAGGTGACTCGTCGCAGAAGATTGAGGCAGTGCAAATGGTGAAAGACTTCCATGCCAACTCTGTACCCTTCCTCCCCAGTGGTAGGATGGTTGGTCTTGAGCGAAGTCTCTGGCATATCCAACTTCCATAAGTCGGACTTTGATATCCACTGGTCTCCCACTTTCATGCGGTTATTAGAATCGGTTAATAATTGCTAAATTGGTTGTATACTCACTATCGTACGAAATCTCCCTCCAAACTCTATCGACCTCGGGGCCAACACCTACGAAGGGATTACCCTTTGTTGTAAGGTTGTATCGAACATGATCGTATCTAACAGAGATGTCGGCGGGCGCTGCGTATTATTTAGTTATTTTGTGATGATTTGATCCAATATATATCACTTACACCAAGCAGAAATCTGACGAACAAGAAGCAGAGTGGATGATCGCAATATTAGCGCGCTGGCGAGCATCCCGCATGAGATAACAAGCGAAGCTACATGTGCAACCCAGGGCCATTTCGATTTAATCCATCCTGAGGCTGATTCGCGGAGGGAGGTTTTGTAACCCAATTCTGTTTTGTCTGATAAATAGTCGAGATCATCAATCGCTTGCAGAGTTGAAGTAGAGTCAGACGATAAACGACCAAGCTTCTCGCTAGCCAAAGATGCTTCAAGTTGTCGATATTGGAAAGCCATAGTAGTGCAAATGAAAACAAAATAATGCAATTGGATACAACACTTTAGGGAATTTTTTTTTGTTTATAATGTTAACCGTTGGGATTTTCGTGAACAAAAAAGGGAAGGCAACGAGAGCTAGAGTGAAACGATTTAGTCATCGGAGGTACTCAGCTGCTCAGGGGAAAAGTGGATAGCGGGCTGGCCTTGGCAAAACGAAACCCGAGCGGTTACAAAAGTTGACAAAGGACAATGTTAAACCATATACCTTTAAACGGGGCGGTCAACAAGCGACGGCGAAGAAAACAAGATCAACGAACTTTCAAACAACTAGATTTATATCGCTCATATTCTACAGCTCTCTGAAATAACGACCGTTTCATAGTCTCATGTGATACCAGCGCTTAACGCGACCCAACCTGAAACTGGAGTATTGTAAAACCATTACGAAAAATAGGCTGGAGAATTCCAACAGCCTCGGTACAACATCGATGGTAAGTTTCAACCAGTACTCACTTCTGAATTTTGGCAAAGCGATTGATGAAATCTCCCGTTTCAATCAGGTTTCTGATGATACCCCGAACAGACGATCTTGTATGGCGGAGTGATTTAGTTTTTACGACTGTCCGCATAGAGTCAGTGTACTCGAGTGCCTATAAAGTAGTATTGGGTTTGCCTTCTTTTCTAATTTTCGGCTCCTATTCATCACTTCACTCTTCATCTCATCCTTCTTCTTCCCTCTTCTATTATTTTTTTGACTGCTGGCCAGTCTAGTTTTGCTTTCTATCTTTTACCTTTTCCATTGAACATCAACGTTTATAACTTGCATTCAACTTTATTTCAAGTTCTCTTCAAGTCTTCGTCATCATGCGTCCCATTTCAGCAACCAATGCCTTAGTTTTTGGCCTTCTTGGCTTGGCTCCTCTCGCTGCCGGCCTCCCAACAGCTGGATCTGTAGACATCGAGCGCCGATATGTTGTGAGTATGCCGATTGCGAGGATGATTGAATTAAGCTAACGAAATTTGTTAGGGTTCTGCTGCAGCTCTATCTACTAAGCTCATGCGTTCTGTTATCCCAGGAGTTGAAGCTCGCCACCATACCGAGGCCCAAATTGCTGCCAAAGAGAAAGCGGCCGCCAAGAAGGGTGGAAAAAAACATGCCCGTGGGGATGAGGTTCCTGATGATGATGAGTTTGGGTCTTGGGCTGATAAGCGTGAGCCTCATCATACCGAGGCCCAAATTGCTGCCAAGGAGGCTGCTGCCAAGAAAAAAGGTGGAAAGAAGAATAATGCTCGTGAAACTGGTGTAGTTCCAGAAGATGATGAATTCGGCTCTTGGGCTGATAAGCGAGAACCTCATCACACTGAGGCCCAAATTGCGGCCAAGGAAGCCGCCGCTGCTCAGAAGAAGGGGGGAAAGAAGAACCACACCCGCGAGACTGATGAGGTTCCTGAGGACGATGAGTTTGGATCTTGGGTTACCAGGCGGGACCCCCATCACACTGAAGCCCAGATCACTGCTAAAGAGAAGGCCGCTGCTGAGAAGGGTGGAAAGAAGAATCATGCCCGCGAGGCTGATGAATGCAGCTCTTAGGTTGATTAGCCCACCGTAAGAACAAATTTATCTTACCTAAATAATCTACTGCTAGAGAATTCCAAGTGATGTGATGAGATTTGGCTTCAATCAATGTGAAAATATTGCCAGCAATAGTCTTGGAAATATATCACACATGGTCAAACATCGGTATTAATAACGGCCGCGGCGGAAAGGAAGTTAATTCGCTCACTTCGTACGTCGGAGCCACATTTCAACCATACTCGCCGAGAGCGTTTCCATAGTCATTTGATTGATGCAAAAGAGCAGGCCGGCGCTGAAAGATAGAAATAGTAACCCATAGTGAATAATATTTCTTCAGAGATATAGTTGAGACGCTTGCATTTAACGAAATGTCTCAATTCATCTTCATATCTCAAATTCAGTTTATACTCTTATTTAGACTTTAGGTAGCCAACAATCTGAAAGAATGTGACCAATTCAACGTACGTCTAGTCACTTTCTAGGAAACGCACCCATCGTTCATTCGCGTCACGGAACGCTCGCGCTGAGTGTTCCATGGTCTCTTCATCCTGACTGATACTCCCAACCCTTAGTTAGTCCCGGTAGCCGCCTTTGTAATACCATCAGAGCTGGGTTTTCACAATAACTCATTACAGAGAAATTTCTTTCGTCCATTTATGAGGGCTTTCTACGCCGAAAACGATATCCGATAGCCATTCTTTGATTAGTTGAGCATATGACGCGGATTCTTCTTTTGGAAGCGGGATTGGTATATCTCTCCCTCGATGATGTATTGCTTCAACAGCTGCAATAAAATACTATAGTTATTCAATTAGCTCTCTGTATTGCTATCTTAGTCTGGGGTTACATCTTGACGTGAACTTACCGCGGTTCCTGCTGCGAATGCTTCAATTAGCCGACCTTCTTTCACAGCATCTTGTATCTCATTTATGGTGAAGTCTCTTTTGATCGCTGTCAAAGGAGGGAGGGTTCGACCCTTATGATGCCACACTGAGGGTTTGTTAGGATTAGATCGCACCAAATCCAAGACACTGTAGCGGGTTACACCCTCCAAGATTGTGCCATTATCTAGCCCTGCAGTGACGAGCTCAATGTCACCACTTTTTGTCTTCCATAGGACAAAAAAGTTACTTGCGCCTGCCTCTGTAACAAATCCATCTGGTCCAAAAAGCCAAAGGACTTGATCGAATCCCCTTTGAAGAGCTGCATCATGTGCCGGTAGCGTGGGGCCATAATTTCCTCCAAGCTTTCGATTTCCAAACCCACCCGGCCAAGCTCGGACAGCTTCGGTTGGGGAAGTGAGCCATCTCATACCATTCCCTTTGGTAGTGAAACCTGGAAGTAGAGTTGCAATGACATATAACAAAGACTGTCGAGGCTTTTGAACACCTAGGGCAGCCGTTAACCCAATATGAGTTGGACGTAGATATAACGGTTGCCCAGTTTTACCACTAGGAAGCCATTTTTCAGCCTCAAGCGCGGCAAAGTGCATCAGAAGAGATTCAAAATGAGCTGTATCAAACTCAGGTAATCCCACACGAAGAGATGATTTCAGCATTCTCTCACAGTTAAGTTGCAATCGGAAAACTCGTAATCGATCGTCATGCCCTCGGTAGATTTTGATGCCTTCAAAGCATTCTGTTGCATATTGAAGAACGCTGGCACTGGGCATTATAGGGAGTGGTCCGTATGGCCGGATTCCAGGAGCCTGCCAACCTGTAGATTCGTCCCACTGCCAGATAAACATGTGCTCTGTGCAATTCGTTTGTAGATTGTCCAGAGGTTTGATTGGTGTATTTATTATTGCAGCCGAGCCGTTGCCATGGTTAAGCAACTTTGGCCGTTTGAGCCTATTTCTGTTCTCTCAAGGTGCCATTTGATGCAATGGAGTTCTTTCACTGACGAAGAATAAACTTGGTATGCTTATTTAGAGAGGCAGTATTATCTATCTTAAATATTTGGAAATATTTGTGTCTATCGTTATCCAAAATTAGAGCCGACGATACCCAGGACGTATTGCCATCTACATGGGCAATCACACAACGAGTTCCATAACCATCCATCGCCCAGGTGCGCTCACATAGTTCCCTATCAACGGCTCATCTAAGGAGTACAGATATGCATAGGAAAAGAAGACAACAAAAGGTATTATTCATGTTGTCACCAAAGTAGACCAGGATTCAATGGGATTGGCACCAACATCACTTGTAGCGCATCCGCTGGGCGCGCCCTTCTGATACCTAGACTGTATTCCGCGTATAGGCGAGGATCCTTCTGTCCGAGTAAGGTATTATGAGGGTAATTACTATTATGTCATGGTCGGAAAGATTAGGCTGGAAGGATAATCTATTCCCATTGTAGATGCTTACCAATCATTAGCTTCCCTTTTTGTTATCTAGTTGGCTTATAATACGTAAAATCTGATCCGTTATCGAGGGGCTGAGACGTAACATCAGATATCGGCTTGAAAATAACTGGAATTATCGAATTCTATCTGTAGAAATATTATTAGTCTTTTCGAAAACTTCCCGCATCATTGTTTTGGGTGCTTTTTTGTATCCCTGCTGCCCGCTCATCTTACAGTGACCATGGGGCAGTGAAACAATTGCTACAGCGCTGATAGTAGTGGATTCTATGGCAGAATGTGAGATTTATAGCAGAAGTGTGAAATTATTGAGATGAGAGGGAATATTTCAGCTCATTACACTTGATCCTCAACCCATAATAAAGACCTAAAAAAGAAAATCTACGACGCAATACACCACTTTATTTACCGATTAGAACTGAGAGTTGACTTCAATTATCTTCTACTAAACGCCACTTCTATCTACAAGGAAAGTAATCCGTTGTAATTGAGATAGCTGTTCCAAAGGTAATAGGTCATTTCATTGATCTATATCAATTCAGTGCTCCATTTGTATGGTAGAGTATAAACTCCCAATGTGTGGCAAAATTTTAACAGCGAACTCATCCCCATAATGCAAGTATTCCATGGGCTCCATTGCCATGCCAATAGCCGCGGGTGTTCCAGTAAGAATGAGTGTGCCGGCGGGTAGTGTTGTTCCCTGAGATAACCAGCTGACACAATTTCATCGATCATTACGACAGAACTAAGGAGCGTTGTTGGATCGCAGAAGCGAAAGATACTGGAGAATTTCTTGCGTCAATTATGTTGGTTGAAGATAGAAGCTCAACAAGGACCAAGACGGCCAAACTTCGTATGCTTCTTGTCAAAGACCGGGCCCGAGGAATAGGATTGGATACAAAGCTTGTGAAACAAAGTGTCAAGTTTGCAAAGAAATCTGGATATGACCGGATTGAGAAAGTGTGTTAACTGGCGCAAGACGATTGTGTGAGGCTGAAGGCTTCCAGTTGTTCCGTGTCGGGGATGGGCATGAGAGCTGGAAGGCGCCTGGCACAGCTGAAATATGGAAGCTGAAGCTATAATTATCTTGTTGTACGGTGTATCTAAAGCCACCCAGATACACCGGGGTGTAGGAGTTGTAACCGGCCTAACCGCGATATCACCCTGTTGCCTATTCCACAGCTGTTCCAATGCTTTAGAAAAGATAGCTGTATGATTATAACGAGTAATCTATTTTCTTATTCTATGGAGATATTCAGAGCAGTTTCAACTCTTCTTTGTCGTAGTCCGTGGATTTATCGGCACTTAAGAATCCAAGGCTTATATGATCTCCAGCCGCTTCCTTAAGCTTTTCTCCATAGTTATCAATCCATTGGTGGTTGGTCTACTCGTCGAAACTCCTTGAACCAAATAACCACTGCTCCTTTCGTCTGTTGGGGAGTAGAATGATATCAAACGATGCGGGAACGCTAGAAAAAAAAGATGTTCTCTGAGTCAAGATTGATAGCCACGGAACAATCGCTAGCAGAAGATATCACTTCAATTTTCTCGTGAAGATCTTATATGGGTTATGACTGTAGGGGGTATATTTGTGAACCAAGATAAGAGTGGTCATGAAACTACATTCAGTAGGTTAGCGAAAGAACCCTTGGTAGAGCTTCCTCTGAATGGTTATGATGCTGCCTTCATCTGAAAGAATATTTCTGTTTACCAACAATGGTTTCTCTACTGCTTCACAAACATCAATATTTTGAAGTAAAGATAATTCGATCAGGCCTGATCAACATAGTGAAGTGTACATTATTGGTATTGTCATGGACTAAGGGCAACACCATATATCTGCCGTTTGCCTTTTGGAGAATGTTCTCTTGTGTCGGTAAGGACAAACTATGATTATATGAAATAGATTGTTGGCATGATCACTGTGAAGGAATTCTCTTGACATAACAACTTCTCGTTTATCAATAGATGAACTTAGTTTGATTGAATGTCTCATATCCATATCAAATTCTAGCTACTTCCCTCGTCTTTGCTTCAGTTTTCAGGACATAGCTTCGGTAAATACTTTTCAGCCATCGCATCTTAGTATAGATCTTCTAAATCTATACACTCTTCCCATAACTTAGCCAAGACTCGATCATCACCAAAGCTCTCGGGCCAAGCAATGCGGTGTAATGCTGTCCTAGCATCCTCCCACGACCTAACACTAGTAACAGAGCTCCATGTCTTTATCCTTCTAACAAATGACCTCCGCAAGCTGACCTGACCACCAATGGATGACGACGGACTCGAATTTCCACTTACCTCTGCCCCTCTATCAAATGCCATTCTATTCGCAAACCTGGCTAATATTTCGTCCTCATCATCATCGCTCTCACCCTCGTTGGTGAAACGCCCTTTGCGAGATTTTTCTAGTGCGTACGCACCGAGTATAGCCTTCCACAGCCATAACTCTGAGCTATGCGCTCCGATTCGCATCGCGTCCTGGGTGTGATCAAGGTCTTGGTGTAAAGTGTCTATCAGCCAGCGCTGCAGGTGCATGTCTATGTTCATTGTTGTGCCGAAATTACGACGTCGTTGTGGAATCACTGGAATGTGGTCCGCCACCAAATGGAGATAGAGGTATGCGGCGCACGCCCAAGCCCGCGATGTGGATGGAAAGATGACTGCTGGGAGATTAACAAAAGGTTGCTCGGAAAGGTTGATGAAATGACTCTCTGCATCCTCAGATTCATCTGCTCCATGCTGCGAGTTAGGTGATCTTGAACCGGACGTCGGATCCTGACTGTAGTCTCCGGAGCCTCTTCTGTCGTTCTGGGCTGGTGGAGAAGGTTTAAAGAGTAGAGAGCCAACATATGCTTCTGCATCTTCTCGAAGGGTTTCCCAAGCATCCCCTTTGGCACTTGACGATGATGCATGTTTGTTATCACTGCCTTCGGGATCTTGGCGTTGGGGAGGAGAAGACAATCTTCGTAACGTCGTAGCAATGATTTCGCATTCAGCGTCTGCATTGCAGGCTTCAATGTCTGGTGGTGTGGAGTGATAGAAGGGCGATAGATGGATAGTGAGGAACGGAACAGCGCTGAACACAGGCCGCGTTGGTCGTGTGTAGTAATAGCGCCGCTCTGAAACCTGGCGCGGCTCGACAACAAAGGAATGGGGCTCATTTTCCTTTTTGTCTTTCGATGCAGCAACCAGGCTAGCAGCTCTGCGAGACAACAGGGGTCATGTTAGATAGAATTCGATGGCAGTTTCGCTACAGAATCTCGCTTACAGTAGAATGATCCTTTCGACTAGGCCGAACAGCCTGTACTTGACTCGGTCAAGACGGCGCTCATCGAAAAGCCCTGCCAGCGCTTTCAAATGGGCTTCGGCTGTCTTTGTATCTCCTAGTGCAGCCTGAACTTTCTGTTAGCAGCGAACTGCACAAGGCCTGTGTGGCTAGTTAACGAACCTCAACCATCGCCAAGCTAACCATGGAGGTTATACATGCATCGCTGTGGCACAGTAAGGGATCTCCAATCATGCCGTTGACGACGCGAATTGCTTCGAGTTTGTGGTGCAGCATCGTCTCTTCGATAGCTTGCAGCGAACCACCGGACCAAACGTGATGTATGCCAGCGATGAGAAGGAATGATCTAAACGTGGCCGCATTGTGCATAACCAAACCAGCTCTAAAGGATACTGTTTAGCTAATTCGGCGGACGAGATGCCAAGAGACTCTTACATGCTAGAGTTGGGATTTTTTGCCACGACAGTTGTGGTCAAGAGGCGGAAATGAGTTGCTAGGCAAATTAACCGATCTGTCTCTCTCTTCTGCCAAAGTTGCACGGGTACCCACCGTGGTGCAGCAGCTGCATCGATTCGAACGGCATAGGGATCGGTAAGACTTTGAAAAGGTCTACTTCCATAATATCTGCACCTGATAACGTGCCTCCGCGGCGCATATTCACCCCAGCAGCATCATAGTGGCAATCGCGGCCGTGAACTAGACAATTGGTGCTGCATGTCGAAGTTGGTGAGACACTAATCCAATATAGGTCTACATCAATCCAATAATACAATAGCTTACCAGTATGGCTTCGTTTCATCACACCGGATATGCCGCTGCTTGCACTCGCGACAACCATTGCGGCTACGGGTATGATGTCGCCGCTGGCGCGCTCGCTGGGACTCGGAAGAACTCATTGCGGTTGCGCTATGTGATGGTATAATGGTATGGAGCCCCAATTTTATGGCTTGGTTCCAAAGATGGTAGACAGTGGTAGAAAATGCCAGCTTCAGTACGTTATGTGCTGTCTTATTTAAATAAGCCATCGGCACAGAGGCAGCCGCAAACAATCACAATTGCTGGCAATTAAGTTACACGCGAATAGAAAAGTTAGCTGATGTATTCCAAATAACAAATCTGGTTCCTGACGGCATTCACTGCCGAAACTCGGTCACTGCCGAGACTCGGTCACTCCGGTTTGCTCGCGTTCAGCCTTTGTTGTGTCCGCTCCGAAGCTTTTCTGGGTCTTTGGCTGTCGACCGAGGCCCGGATTTGACCGGCCCCACTCCATCCCGCTGGGCCCGTGTCGCTAGTTGCAGCACTGCAACCTTAATAGCTTTTGAGAAAATTGCTTAAGGAGCTCGCCTGCCTGACAGAAATCGATGTCCGCCGTGTGTTCTGCCATGTATATTATTCAGAAATTATGTTCATCATTCAGGTAACTCATCATTGATTCGAATCCTGCGTTACCACTTTATCTCCAGACATGCGGTTTACACGTTGGCCCTCTTCTTCTTAAAGTCAAATATGGCTCTGAGTCCCGCCGGAGCGTCATATTTATCTAGGGTCATATCGATACACTGCAATGGAAAACGTAGTAAGTACAGGTATAATGCGATTGATTGGAACAACTTGACTGTGGATCCTCACTTGCGGAATTGTTGCATTCTGGAATGACTCATCTGAAAGCAGTTTGTCAAGTTTTGCGGCGCTTCGTGCCTTGACGGTATTCGTAGCGAGGTTTGGCGCGAAAGACCTGAATAGACCACCGTAGTCCCAATCAGGGATATCATTGTACGCGGCATCCCATCCTTCAAAGTACCGTTCAACAGTGTACCTAGCAAAGTGGGATCAGCACGTACGACTACCTTCTGAGTTGAGAGGTGGAAGATACCCATTGTTGTTCAGAATAAACCTACCATACAAATTAGTCAATATCGTGCTCATTCAGGTGTGCAGTGATCCCGTAGAAGATATTCGACTTACACAAAAGGAACCACGCCATGGCGGTTTAGTATGGACATGGCCTGCACTGTCAGTTGCAGGCTTCCTTCGCCGGTGAAAACGATCATCCTGCGATATTGACCCAATTCTTTGCCTGCAATCGCGGCGCCGACAGCAGCGCCGATGGCGTAGCCAATGCTGCCCCAAACTGCTTGTGTCCAGTAGTAAACACCTTGCGGAGTCTTGGTAGCAAGCGCCCCAATTTGAGATGTTCCAGTCTCCGCGACGATCATGTCTCCAGGCTTAACAAACGAAGAGAGGCGCTGCATAAAATAGAAACAGTGATTAGTGGGTTATTCATGACGATTGATTGTGTAAAACATGAGAACCTACTGGCCAGAGCCAGGCCTGAGAAATTATTGACGACGGTACTTCCAATGGAATTCCGGGAAAATACTCCACAGGCCTTGGGAGTGTTCTCTGAGACAGGATACTGCTCGATTTGATAGATTGAGAGAGTCTTGGGAGAACCTGGCAGTCGTCAGATCTAGGAGTAACCCAATGTTTATATACCCTCGATGACTTACAGTGTTCATTCTGGCTTGGAACTGCTTTTCTCCAACCTGTAATAAAAGCCGTCAGCCTGGTGACATTAGGACACAAAGCAAACTTATGTTACCGTGATGTGGAATCGCTGGAAGTCGACAATCAGGGAGGACTTGACGTCTTCCGTAAACATTCCGCTATAAGCTGCATTAGGACCAAACAGTGACATAATGTTTTTGCTCAATAGGTACTCACGTATTAAAATCCGATGGCATATGGCCAAGCCAGAGGATGCAGTCTGATTGCTCAACAGCCTTGCTAGTGGCTGGTGGGGAGCCAACACCGGCGTAGCAACCAGCAAACAGTGGATCATCTTCTCCAACAATACCCTTCCCCATAACTGTGTTGAAGTGTAGGGATTTGAGAGATTTAACCAGGTCAATAGCATGAAGGGCCCAGCTACTGCGACCCGCACCGCCGTCGACTATCACTATGGGGCTCTTAGATACCTCCAGTGCAGCCATGATAGCCGCCAAAGCGCGATCATCTTCCGTTCCAGCGGACAGCGTCGTCTTAATCATCGTTGCATCCAGAGAGGAGGCTGGGACCAATGTCTTGACGACATCTTCTGTGATGCCAATACTGATAACGTATGTTAGGATGGAAACTAGTCAGTTATTTTAGTTTTTGGTGCATAAACTTACTAGCCAGGTTGAGAGTGGTACTGTGAGGGATTAAGCGAGGGTCAAGCAAAGGATCACGAGGGAAGCAACGAAAGAAAAAGAACACAAGAGACCAAAGGCACTAGGCTTAAATACAGGATATAAACTATATAACTAAAATCTAGATGTAATAAGGATAAAGAGAAGAAGAACTAAGCAGAAGAGGGAGGGGCAGGATAACTAGCTAGGTGTATAGTAGGTTATATAACAACCCCCTGATAAAAATAATTATAATATCCTTATTATAAAATTTATAACTATTCCTTAGCGTAAATCTAATGCGTAAAATTCCTTTTTTTAACTTTTAGACTTAAAAAAAAAACAAAGGAAATCCCTAACTTAAAAGAAAAATAAAGGAAAAATAGCTTAAATAAGTAATAAACAAATCCTTAACTATAGTATAATCCTACGTAAGTTATCCTCCTATTCTATCCTTTTATTTTATTTTCCCTTACTTTTTTACTATTTAATCCTAGGCTGCCTAGAATTTTACTTAGTTAGCGGGCTTAATTTTAGATTTATTAAATTCCTTATTATTATTTCTCTATAAAGCATTAGGCGCAGTAACTTTCTTTATAAATAGCAAAGGGTTAGGTATAAATACCTGCTTAAATTAATTAATTATAATCGCAGGTTATTCTAAGCCTTTACAATAGCTTTAGTATTTAGCAGTAAGCTTTTATATATAGGCTATATATGCGTTAATAATAGCTATATCCTTTATCTACTATTATTCAGCTTTTATTTTCTTAACTAACTATAGTAGCTTTCTAAACTTAATTAAAGAAAATACTCCTTAATAAATATTATCTAAAAGGGGAATATTTTAAAAAACTACTAAGTCTATAATTAGTATATTTCTAATATCCAGGTAGCGTTAACCTACGTAATCTCTGTTATAGTTATAGTAAACTATAGTTGCCTAGCAGTTTATCTAATAATAACTGGGTATTAGGCAAATATTGTAAAATTTATTCTATCTAGTAACCTTAAGGATAGTATTATAGCCTTTAAGGTATTTATAAAAGCTATTAAGGGAATAGGCATTCTTACCTTTAATAATCTTAGCCTTACTAACTATTATTATAAATACCCTAGCTTATATTATTATAACTACTAAGTATTTATTTTTAACTAAGAAGCTAAGTTTCTTTATATATATAAGATTATAGATTACTACTTTAGCCTAGTGGCTAAGTAAGTTATCTATAGTCTAAACTAAGACTAATCCGCAGGGAACTTTAGCCTTAGGGAGTTTAAAAAGGGTTTACTCTAGTAGGCGTTTTTATTTACTATATTTTATAATAACTAAGATATATCCCTAGGTATATATATAAATAATATCTTTTACACTAGTGTTTTCTACCTTAAACCTCTTTAAGTAACTCTTATAATAGCTAATTATATTAAAATAGTTAGCTATATATAAATCTGCTGAAAACAGAGGTACTAATACTGCTAGTCACAAGATAAGCTTTATAATAAAGCAGGCGTTAGTTAAGTTAATATATAAAATATTTTATTTCTTCTCTTAGCCATTATCTACATTAATAAAGATTATATTTATAATTAGCTATATATTTTAACAGTAGCTTCTCTTAATTTTATTAAGCACCCACTGGTGGATAATAGTAGAGTATCCGTTTTTCTTATTAACTATCTTTATATTAAATATATATAGGGCTCCGCGTACCTAATTATATATATTACCGTAAGCTTAGTAATTTATAAATAATATAAAATTAATATATTCTATATTTTAGACTTATTTTAGGAGGCTATATTATTTTTATTTTATAAATAAGGCCTTATATTCTTTATTATTAGTAGTAGCAGCTATAGGCCTAAATTATTTAGTATTACTAATAAATATAATAGGCGTATTAGAATATTAGGCAAAAGGGATAAGCGTTATTACCTTTATAAGTTAACTAGCCTTATTAATAATAACTAAAGCTAGTTTTAAGACCTCTGGGTTTAATAAAAAATAGTTAAAGAGATTTATTAATATAACCGGAGTTCTAGTAATTATATATACTAAATATATAAATTTCTTTATAAAAGTGTAAGTATTTCTTTTATAGTTAGTAAGATTAACCTAGTAGGTAATAGAATCCTCTGTATATATTTCCTATACTGTAATAGTTTCTGCATACATCTAGCAGTTAAATTAAACCATTACTCTAAGTTAAGATAATAGGGAATATAAGTTAGCAGCAGGGCTTTATTTAGTAAATCTAATATAATAATATTAGTTTATAAAACCTACTAGGTATTTTTAGGCATTAGTTATATCCTCCGTAATTTTTATTACCTTAGTAACTTAAGTCTTAGGGCTTATAAAGTATTTAAGTTCCACTTCCTATATATAAATTTAAATAATAATTTTATTTAGTATTAGTTACTTAAGGTATTTAATAGCGTCTGCAACTTAAGTATTTTAAGGGGCTGTTTATAGTACTATTATATATTAAGGCAGGGCGTTAGTTATATTTATTTTTTTATAAAGTATATCCTAGGATTTATTAGCGGCTCCTTAGTTATCCATAGATTCCTAAGTATTAATAGTATTATTTAAAGAGGCCTAGGTGTTAACAGTATTATTTAAAGAGGCCTAGGTATTAGACTGTTTATTCTTAGCCTCGCTATTATCAGCCTTGCTATTCTTAGCCTTACTATTCTTAGCCTTATTATTTTTAACTTTATTTAAGGCAGTAGTATTTTTATTATTATTAGGCAGCTTATCTAAGGTAGTAGTATTTTTATTATTATTAGGCAGGTTGCCTATAGGGTCTATTACTTAGTTCTCCTTATTCTACTTCTTAAGTACTTTGGCAGTAAGGGTAGTTATTATATTAGTAACGCCTTTATTTAATACTACGCTTACTAATTTAGTGGCAAAAGTAAACTTCCTTAAGCTAGGGCTACTAGTAATAAAAACCTTACTAAGGTTAGTTATAAATAAGCTTTAGATAACCTTTTTATACTATTTAGAGAAATAACTAAGTAATATATAATCTTTAATACTAGGAAACATTTTTAAGAGGTTAAGTTAATAACCTATTTATTTATTTTTAAAGGCTTATATAAATAACTATTATTTAGCAGCCTAAGATAAATTACTAATATTATTTATATAATAGACAGCTCCTGTTTTAAAATAAGTAGACTTATTATTAACGTTATACTCTATTCTGGCTATAATATATTATATTATATTCAGACGTGTAAAGTTATTCTAGTAGTTCTAGAGGCTTATAGGCGTAAATATAGTAGGTAATATAATTATTATAGGAAGTGCTTTTAGGCCATAGGGCTAGTTAGGCTAATAGGGCACTTCCGCGTAAAAAATCGCAATATTAAATTAAATTCCCATAGGTATATTAAGGCAAGTAGCTCTCTATAATTTACCTTAGACTTAATTAACTTTAGGGCATATTATATTACATTATTTACCTAGCTATACTTAAATACATTTATAGTAAGCGGGTTTATCCTCCGTAATTATTAAGTAAAGTTCTATAGTAACTATCTCTGCCTTTAATAAATAACAGAATTTATTATTTACTAAAGGTATTTACTAAATAATATTCTCTAAGACTTTAAAGATATATTTAAAAAGCTTTTCTACTATAACATATAGGTAGGTTTTATTTATAATAGTATTAATAATATTCTGCTAGACGCTAATTTATTTTTTTATTACCTTGCGATTATAAAGCTTATTAAGCCACTTTTAAGCATTATCCTTAGCATTCTTACCTTTAATAAGTGCCTTATATAGCTTATCTTATATAGCAGTAGTAATTAACTAAATTTAACTAATAAAGAGCTTAAAGTCTAGTATTTTATAAAATAACTACACTGCGCTAAGAAACAGGCGGGCGCTTAAGCTAATATTAGGCAGTTACTCTTGCTTTATCTTCTAGTTAAGCCTAATAGTAATAATATACACTTGCGGTTTACTATTTATAATAATATTATATATATCTACGTCTGCGTCTTATTTAGTCTACTTTAATCCTAGGAAGGGGAATATACCTGCGTAATATAGTATTTAAGAGTAGTTAATAGCCTATTTAGTTAATTATATTACTTTATTAACTACGCCTATAATAAGGGAGACTATTTACTTATTACGTAATATAAACGCATATACAGGCTTATTTATAAGGGAATCTCTAGTAATAGTATTAAGTATAATATTATTATAGTTTAAATTATTAGTATTTCCTACCCTGCATAAATATATAAAAGTATAATAAAAATTATATTAGAGATTAAGGGTTTTAAAATACTCTTAGCAAGACTCTTAATTAGTTAATATAGTAAATATAAAAAACTATATAATAGTAGCTTTATTTTTTAATAAGTTAGTAAGTTACTCTTATATATTTTATATAACCTTTTATAATAACTTAGGGAAATTAAGGAGTTAATTCTAAAACGCTAGTGGGTAGACAGCGGTAGTATCAGAGGCTTTTACTATTAGTAAGGCATAAGTAAAGGCTTTTATAAAGATCCTAATATATTTTACTAGCTATAAGGTTGCTTTTAAGCTAGAAAAAAGGTTATAGTATTTATTATTCTAGTAAATAGTAATAACTACTCTAGGAAAAGAGGTAGTTCTAGGTGTAAAGTATTAATTTACCATAGCTATATTATTAATAAGGTAACTATTTATTTAAATAACTTCACTTAGTCTAAATATAGTAATATTAAAAAAGGTAAATATATAGTTTTACTCTCTGTTTTATATAATATACTTTACTATAAGTATACTCTTAGTATTTATGCCTTATTATAGCTTAATTTCTACGCAAAGGCTAGGGAATATACTATTCTTACTAATATATTTA